CGAGTGTCGGAGATTCAAACTTTGACTGGCTCAAATCCGTGGAAACACGTTCCAACTCAATTTAACCCAGCTGATCTCTTGTCACGGGGTGTAAAGCCTTGCGAAATAGGAGGCGCAAAAATATGGTGGCAAGGACCAGATTATTTAAAATTAGACGAAATTCATTGGCCCACTATTAATTTAAATCGCGAAGAAGGGCTTCCTGACATGCGAAAGAACGTCAAGGTTCCTATTGCACGTCAAAATTCTGATATTAGTATATTTGAAATATTTTCTAATATAAATACTTTGACACGAGTAGTTGCACTGATATTTAGATTCAAAGAAAATTGTAAGAATTCAAAACAGAATCGTCAGTTCGGACCACTTTCAGTTCAAGAAATTGAAGATGCTTTTAAACGCTTGACAAAATTAGTGCAAATTGAATCATTTTCTCGTGAAATTGAATTAGTCAAGAAAGGTAAATTAAATTCGAATAAAATTGGAAATTTAAACCCCTTTCTTGATGATGATGGTCTTTTGCGTGTTGGGGGCAGACTGTCAAATGCAAAGTATGATTTTGAAAAGAAATATCCACTCATTTTACCAAAACAACATTCGTTCACGAAATTATTATTTAAAAACGAGCATGAAAAGTTATTTCATGCAGGCCCGCAACATTTATTAGCATCGATACGCGAGAAATTTTGGCCAATTTCTCGGCGGTATTTAGCCAAGCTGACAGTTCGAAATTGTATCAAATGTTTTAGATTCAACCCAAAAATTTAAAACCAATTATGGGAAATTTTCCTGAGCAGCGCATTTGTCCAACCCATCCCTTCAACATAACTGGCGTCGACTACGCAGGTCCATTTTCCATGAAAAGTAAAACAGGTCGTGGTTTTAAAACTTCAAAAGTTTATGTTGCACTTTTTATATGTTTTCTGACAAAGGCACTTCATTTGGAATTGGTAACCGACCTCACGAAAGATGCATTTATTTTAGCTTTATGTAGATTTGTGTCTCGCAGAGGGAAACCGAGTCAAATATTCTCGGACAACGGAACCAATTTTGTAGCAGCCAGTTCTGAATTAAATGCTTTATACAATTTTATTAGAAAAAATGGCAACGATTTAATTCATACCTTTGGAAAAGAAAACGTAGAGTGGCGATTTATTCCGCCCCGGTCTCCACATTTTGGTGGTTTATGGGAAGCAGGCGTGAAAAGTACGAAACATCATCTAAAGCGAGTAGTATCCAACGTAAATTTAACTTTTGAACATTTTTATACACTGGTCACACAAATCGAAGCCATACTAAACTCCCGAACTATTTCTCCATTATCCTCAAGTCCATATGATCTTAGTCCTTTGACTCCCTCTCACTTTTTATTGACCAAGCAATTGACTACGATACCGGAATTGGATCTATAGAAAATTCCTGAAAATCGCCTTTCAATATACCAACACCTGCAGCGCATGAGGCAGCATATTTGGGAAAGATGGAATAAAGAATATGTATCCGAATTGCAACATAGGTGTAAATGGAAGAAGACTCAAAGCACTCTCCAAGAAGGTGATTTAGTTCTTGTGAAAGAAGATAACCTACCGGTTATGTGCTGGAAACTTAAATTAGAAATGTCACTGTACTTACCGACTAGTCTACTAGATTTTAATTGTAGCTTATAGCTCGTAGTATTTAAATTGTCTGATATATTGCAAAACATTTTTCTGTGTATTAGTTTTTTGGTTCATTTTTGCAAAACGAACACAAATACATTCACTGACATGACCGAACCGAAAACACCCGATTGCTCCCAAACTCATGCGGTAAAGTTCCGGAAATGTCCGAAGTGGCTCGGATCCGTGGGAAACGAAACAGACGTGGTAAAGCGACGCTTTCCGCGCATAGATAATTAGGCGTTTTTCAGAAGGGAGTAGAAAAAAAGACATTTCGATCTGAAGACTATCAAGAAACCGAGATGAATTTAGCTTCAAATCACCCTGGCAGCTTGCAAAATAGTTCAATAACACCCAAGTTATATTGCTATAAGTTATATAAAACTAGCCAAAACTAACCACAATTGAGGCAAATTTTTTAGAAGGAGATGACAAATTGGTTTTGGGATATTATTTCTATTTTCTGCCAGTTTGAGGTTTTTGAGGATAATTCGTTCGCTAGAGGGTACTTTGTGAATTCATTTTAATCGTTTATCTTTCTTTGATATTTCACATATTTTCGTAGGCCGAGCCGGACCCAGGTCATAACAATATCAGGAGACATCAACCACCGATTAATTTTCATATTAAAAAACAATACAAATGTTGCCTGTTTCATTTCAATTAAGTATGATTGCAATGTCTTGATAGCACCTATACGTCTAACGGTCTCTTCTAATAAGTAATATATGCGCACGATTCGATCAGATATGAACTTCCCAATGGATGCCAATCATAAACAGTTTCGCCGAAGCAAAATCTATTATTTCGATATATGCATATGGAAGAGACGATTTACCCACAGTACACACGGACGCATAGAATGGAGGAAGTGATTGGAGTCAAACAAAGGTCTTGTTTATGGCAGCTCAATATTTGGCCGCCGTATATGTTTTGTAAGCCACGAAACCAACATACCGACCGGGCTTAGAAACCGCTTGCCAATCAGGGAAACAATACCCTTTGTGATATTAATAGTGCGGATTTGTTTAACCCGATACAAATGCAACCAAATCTCCGTGAATGCCGTTTAATTTGATGATGATGCGCGGCCGTGAATCGAGGGGCTTATATAGATATAAATGTAAAAATCGGGTGGTTGCATATTTATCGATGAACATCATACAAGATGAATTCATAGATTGAACTGAATTCTTTTTACAAGCTCATGGAACTTCCTGCGTTTCCGTTACATAAACATTAAGAGAACGTTAGCAACTTTTGTCTATCAACGGAAAGTATTAAAAAAAGATTCTGAGCATTGACAATTGAGGTATAATCAAAGAACCTTAAGATTGTGTAAAAGTCCAATTAGAACCACAGCAGAATATATTATGAGGATGAGCCCGCAACGGATAACGCAAGTATTGTTAATCTATTTGCCGAACACGAAGCTCAACATTTCTCTTCGATCTTTGCAAACTATAAAATAGGAATTGTACCTCCGATTAATGTTTTTGGGACTAGAGATGTGAAATAAAATTCTTGCATTACTACTCAAAAATAGTATTCCAGCATTTAATGGACACTTAACTTCACCATCTTATATTTACGTATTTATCTAGTCACTTTCGAATGCTTAATTAATATTAATATATTATGGGAGACCCACTTTGAGTTGATAAAATCCCACCGCTTATGTTTGAGCATTGTATCCTTCCACCGATAAATATTATAACTTCTTCTACAGACATAAACTGATATCAAACCAATAAATGAATAAAAAGTCCCATAAGTGATATAGTAATGTAAACTAAACTAAATAGATATGAAACTGTTAGGTACTATAATAAAATGTTGAATTTTCTGGTTTACGTTCTTAATAGTAGGATGAAATTGCTGAACTTTATATAAATCGGAATTTAAGACGTTTGGTAGAGTTTTTGATGCTCTTAGTCTAAAGTTGACTTAAAATAAAACATTTAGTCACACACTGTAACTGTTAGAATGTAAAAAATATATAATATTTTATATATGATGTAAATGTAAAAAACTGAAATTGGACACTATTAGAGATTCAATTTTTGGCGGTTATACTGAGATAAAAATAGCCCTCCCGTTATTGAATCTAAAATTTACAATTATACAATGTCCCAGTGAAAATAACCTCCTGGTCACTTTCAAATCAATTCGAGCTTTATTAACAACTTCTGCGAATTATTTTTGAAATTAAATACTACTTTTAGGTTAAATATTATTGTAGTATGTACCATGCAGGTTCAAAAATAGACTGCAAACACAATTATGAGCGGAGGTAGTATTGGAGCTGTTTTAGAGTCAGAATTATTATTAAGAAACCAACTTACAGCTTAAAACAGATAGTTTGTTAATCATAATATCTTCTATTGGTTGAGTTCTGTTTTATTTAAGTTCTGAAGAAGTTAACAAGAAGTCCTATAGAACAATTGATCAAGGGGGAATGCAGAAGATTTGTAACTAGTATTAGAGTAGCCTTCTTTGAAAAAAATTAACATCCTCTTCAATTGAAATGTTAAAAAAGTACCTAGAAGCTTCATTTCCATGTTACAGGGTGTGAAAGTTTACAGACATTTTTGTACTTTTTTTTAATGCCTCCGTTAAATTGAAATTTGGTACAACGAATAACTTCGAAAACTTTCAAGCAGTCAAGAGTTTATTCTTACCTACAGAGTAATACCACTTTCGGGATCCTGCTCTCGAACTGTTTTGCAATTCAGATCGATTTTTTGTAGTAGAAAAATTAAGAAGAACTAGTTTTCAGACTCAATTATGAATGCATTTCATCATTGTTATTATTATTATAAATAAAATATTAAAATGCATACATACCTTATAATATGTCTATTTCACATGAAAATGTAAATAGAAACATTTAAGGATATAACTTTTAGAAAAAATAAAAATCTCAAAACAAATAAATCCGAAGCGAAGTTTATGTTTATATAAGATTTTCATCTTAAAACATTGTTTTGTTTGTTAAAGTCTTTCTCGAAAACCCTAAAAAAAATGAACTAAAAACTTACAACTAAAACATATACCACATAGGTAACTGTAATTAAGGTCTGGGGAGAGTGAACAAAAATAACGATCATCTATTATGGCGGTTCATAGGCTTCCTTTTTATTGCCATTTACAAAACCAGTTACGTACAACTACCTACTTTTTAAATTTTAAATGTCCTAGTGCTGTTATTGTTGTGTTTTGTTCTCAGTTCCGAAACGGGGCGACCGTTTAAAATGCTGTTTTTTAGACCTAAGCGTCTTAATTATTAAAGAGCTACATAAGGTCGAGTCGCAAATTGCAACAGTAAACAACAATGCATACCTTGGCCGTCACCTCCGCACAGCCCACGAAAAGGGGCGCCAGAAAGTCCGACACCCAAACTGACACGAAACAATAAAGAAATTCCGTCACTTTTGCGCGATTTTTGGGGCGCTTTTCATTCACAAAAAACCAGAAATTCACTGACGATACGCCCAGGGCAAGACTGCAAGAATGTAATGTGGAATATACTAATCGACGCCGTGGCCGTAACGGTGTGTTACTGCTCAGTGTTCGGTTCGAAGGACCGCTGACCAAACGTCCGTAAACCCGGTTGAATCTATACTACGGTCCGTCTGAATATCTTTCTTGCCTTGCGTAGTAGAGTGCGAACTCGGTGCGGAGCCTCCTCAGAAATGCACGCCGCCAACAAGGTGCATCGTTACGTACGCTGCGCTTGGGTTGTGTACGAAAAAAGATCTATCCGTGTCAGACCAGTTTTAAACAGCTAGAGAGGTGTAAGCAAAGTAGCTGACGCACCGTGTTTCTGTATCGCATTGGATTGTTTCTTACATTGGAAAATGTTCCTTCTGGACTATTATGCGACGCTGCTGGCTATAACGCACCGTTTAATGCCCGTATGCACCAATGTAAATAATCTTTTAACAAGTAGTTAAGCAGCTATGTTCGTATCCACCAATGGAATTTTACTCATAAACCAGAAACTTTTGGCTAGAAATTGCGATTTGTTAAAATGGACGTAATAGAAGATGAGATGTATGAAGATTTTTGAGTGTCTTTTTTTTAAGTAATCTACTAAAAGAGAAAAACACCGTTTACCTAACAGAAAAATGCTGAAAAAAATTTGATTTTCATTCGTTCCCTAAAAAAATTACGTAAAAGTACATCTTTTTTAAGTTTTGTTACTACACCACAGATGGCGCTAAAAAAGTTATGCGGCGTTGTCACGAGCTCGACAAAAGTAACTGTCGCTTTTTAAACTCTTCTCGAGAGTGGTGTAACTCTTCAGTCATGAGGTCTTAATACAACTGCATAGAGAAGAACCTCTTCACTTCAATAACGCCTATACAAAAAAAAAATCTGAATCATCTCGGAGTGTAAGAAACAATTAAAGCGCCGCAGGCGACATTGATATTTTCGAATAGAAGGTTGTGATTTTTTACGATTTTACTTAACTCGTTTTCCCAGAACATTTAATCATAGGCATAGGCATATTATGAGGAAATACATCTAAACTTATTGGCATTCTATCCGTTTGACGTTGGTTGTCGAATTCCGCAAGGTCATTGCTTAAATTTGGCGCATGTTTTTCATAGTTATGGGCATTGGCAGGGCGTCTATATATCTCTTGGTTGCCCCATGAGCTCCTGTATTATCGGCATAGGCAGGATCTCTACTAGTTACATGCTCAAAAAGTTAATAGCCAAAATACAAAATAAAAGTTACTAAATATATACACTTGTACCTAACTACGAGAAGAATTAGTAACTATAAGGAAGAATTATATTTGTCTCTTTGTCTAAATTCTCGACTCTTTCATATCTTCTTGGTTAGTTTTTGGAATTATTTTGCGATTTTAATCGATTTTTGTGATATTTTATTAGTATGCGTAATTATACAGCATTAATTATTGTGGCACTTTCTATATTTCAGAAGTGTTTTTTCCTGAAAACGTTATGGATGGTAACATAGACAGGATTGAGGGAGAAGGAGGGAGGGTGAGAGAGAGCGAGAGCATCTTAAAATTCCATTTTATAATGTTTATAATTTGAGTAAATATATAATTTTTTATCATTATTAACGACTGATTTGAATGTATCTTTAACTGTATAGTTACCAGCTTTGAAAATTTTTCAATAATTGTGAGTCCGGCTTTGAACTCAATTAAATTCTGTAAAAAGAGAATCATTAGAAAACGTGTGTATATATATATATATATATATATATATATATATATATATATATATATATATATATATATATATATATATATATATATATATGATGACACTATATATATATATATATATATATATATATATATATATATATATATATATATATATATATATATATATATATATATATATATATATCCCGGAGTATAGTGTCATCATATATATATATATATATATATATATATATATATATATATATATATATATATATATATATATATATATATATATATATATATATATATATATATATATATATATATATTACTCGAATATGCGAATAATTTGATTTTTTTTAATCGATGATTATGTTAACCTGAAATAAAGTGATGAGGTTAGATGTTTTACTTACATATAACTCTGGGTTATGAATGATCAATGTGCAATTTTATGTATTATTGATAAAAACTAGATAAATATTAACTGCTTAATTTGTCACTTTTCTATCACATTATAAAATTAATAAAATTATTGTAAACAAATAGCAAGGATTTAAGATCAGATCTATGTACACTTGATACAAAAACTTTTTGTTAATGCCTGAGGAACAGGACACAAAAATATTAACATTAATACACTGTATAACTGATTATTTTAATAAAACTCATTTCTTCCAAGGAATTTTATATTTAGAACAATAGGTTCATTTTACAATGAAGCTAATTCATATATTATTAAATATAAGAAACAATTCTACTTTAGCTTCTTCTTGGGGCGGAGATTATTGGTGTGGCCACACTTAGTTTTACGACAATTTGTAGCACGAGAATGAAGCCTGGCATAGCATTTTCGACAGATCATCTTATCGCAATTGTATTTCTGGGCCAACAAACGTAGAGAAGGTTCAATGATTCCACCTCTCAGACGCAAAACTAAATGCAGAGTTGATTCTTTCTGAATGTTGTAATCAGAAAGGGTTCGTCCGTCTTCAAGCTGCTTTCCGGCGAAAATCAGGCGCTGCTGGTCGGGAGGAATGCCCTCTTTGTCTTGGATTTTAGCTTTCACATTTTCTATAGTATCGGAAGGTTCAACCTCAAGGGTAATAGTTTTCCCCGTGAGAGTTTTCACAAAAATTTGCATTGTGACTTTTTCTAGAAACAAGCAGAAAAAAATCTGTTTGACAAATTTTTTGACAACCTTTCCAACAATTAATATTAAAAAAATGTTGTAAGTCACTGTATCTCCATAAGATATACCATGTATATAATCCTTCTCAAAGTTTACAATATACAAAAACAAAATTTAACAATTTGTGTAAAATAATTAGTAACTTACATCTCCACAAAACGTGCAAGCCACAATTCTCGGAAACACAGAACAGAAAAGGAACCTTAGGACAGATAAAACGTATGGTATAAATTAAAGTGGTCAGTTATGTGACGATACTGACTATTGTTGCGTCAGAAAAAGTGTGTTGTACGTTAGGTGTCGCTATTATTGTCAAGGATTTATTCCACAAGCAGGAAAATTCTGTCATCTCAATTATTTGAGAATAATTTCTCAAGAAATTACATGAGTTACATGATCACGTTTCAAATAAATAAGTATTACACAGTAAGAATGGTAGTAAAAGCCACAACTAAAAATCTTTGTCGACTTACTAATGTTTTGGTAAAAGTTAAGTGTTGGTTTAATTCCATCAAAAATCCTCGACAGATGTTGGCAATGGCCGAATAACCCTGACTGTATTGCTCAACATATTTGTGAAAAAAGAAATTATTCTTCTTTTTTTTTACTTCTAATGGCCATGACTGCATAAGGTCATTCGGCCAGCTTACACAATTTTTCACATTATTCAGATATCCTACAGAATGCCTTCTTAAGAGAACGGTCTGGACCAATCCATCATCCTCCAGGTTTTTGTTTTTTACGTATACAAAAACGGAAACTTCTAAATAAATTGTCATAAAATGACGACCGATTCTTCAAACGGCTCCAGCAATCATCTTATACGGGATATCCGATCCCATCCGGCCTGGTTACCAGCGTGAATATAGGACATTCGGAAACCGTATTTACATACACCTTATGGAATTACACATCACAAATCCGTGTACATCCACGTAAGACGAACACTATTTCCCAAACTTATAGGCACTACTTCTCTATCACGTCAGATAACGACTATACGTAACAATATTTTCTTTAAACGACACTAATTTCTACCGATTTCTACAAATATTTTGGAACCGGGCAGGAGCAACGTCCGCCATGTGCAATGGTTCCCACAAAATCCAAGAAATTATTATTTTACAAGTTTAGGACTTTTAAAAATTTTGTTGGAGAAAGTAACTGGTACGTGTTGTTCTACTTATGTAATTTCAAAAAACACTTAAAATACCCATATTTCGTTTGTATTTACCTAAATAACCTTTTTTTTTTCTTGAAAATGGTTAAATATAAATTTTATTTTTAAATATTTGTGACACAAAGTAAAGCAATAAGTAAACCAGAATAATCAATTTTTATTTCTATGGAATTCGCACAAGTATACATACACAAAAGTTCACTTAAGTTTAGCATACAATTTGAATATTTCCACATCAGAATGCTTTGGCATATTGAATCCAGTTTTAGCCAGTTTCACATAATTTCTGTAAATTTCGATAGATTCTTTTTTAACAGTCGGTACAGCAACTTCCAATGATGAATCCTTGGAAAATTTGCTGATGTGCCTTATGGTAGTCAAATTAGAATGTAAAAAATTCACTGCTGTGCCGTTTGCCCGTTTACCAGCTAATACATACCTACAGATGAAGTAGAGTTTAAACCAATTAAATTTTGTCTAAATATATATAAAATATTACTTTTTGTATAGAAGAATATCTTCCTGGGACGGTTTTTTAATTTCGAATCCATAAGATTCTTGGGTACCCGGGAACAAAGATTTGAATGTTGCGGGCTCGGGTGACGCTTCTTTGGAAGTGGTCTTGTGGGATTCGATAGAGGCGAAACTGTCGTCATCTTCTGAAGTGTCGCCATCGTTACTAGAACTTAAGAAAAGTTTTTGAAAAAATTTTGAAAAAACAATTTTCAAGATTACTCAATATTATTTTATGTACAGATAAAATCAACGATTAATAACACATTTCTTGCTACTTTTGCTTTCTTACACGTTTACCCTGTGTTCACATTTAAAATTAGTTTAAACAAAATGAGAATAGTTTGTCGACAAAATATGGCTGAAGTTCGAAGTCAGACCAGTCTGATTTGAAGAAGTTTAAAGCTTTCACGCTGTAACATGGTACGGTTTTATTGTGCAATGGTCTACAGTCCCACAGAATTCAAAGATGATTTGTATAACCCAACTAATTTACAATAGTTTCCTATAACGCTTTGTTAGCGCTGATGGCAAATTCTGCAGTTATTATCTTAAAATAAAATGGTATAACTGCAATTAATATATATAAATAACAATCACCTAGTGCTGGAAGCTGTAGAACTCGTCGAACTTTGCCCGCTGACTGATGGATTTTTCATTGTATTTCCCTTTTGCGAAACATCCTCCCGCCTTTTAACTGGTCGAACCCTAACCGTAAACGGGCTATAGTTAGTCGTGAAACTGGGCATGAAATCTCTCACAGTATTGCTTATTTTGTAACCATACACGTCATCCAGCACACTAAACTCATAGGGCCTGTAAAAGTCCAAATAGGAATCGATCATTTCTATATCCCTGGACAAAACTTGAATCAGCTCCGAACAGGATTTCGTCAAATCATTGTACGCGTAAGGGAGACTTTTATACACGCCCACGTCCCACCACTGGGTGAGCGATTTCATACTAAAAATACTGGGTTTATGATGAAAATAATAATCGCTGGGAAATTCCCAAATGGGAGGTTGATTCTCTTCCGGTTTAAATAAGCCGAGAAACAAATTAATAGCGTTTTGTTTCTCAGAGTCCGAAAAGGTGTTACTGTAATATCGACTCAGGGTCTGCATGATATCGTTCCCCTGAGACGTCCACTGCGCCGTCTTCCGGTAAGTTTTAATGCGATGCACCAGTTGAGAACCACCGTACTGCAACGCAAGAGTATCCCCGTGATCTTCGTAAAGGGACTCGAGCATTCTAACACAGTCGGTATCAAATTCCAGGATAGGACTATCCAATACTCCCAATGCGCACAGCTGGTACCCCAGCACACATTTCCCTATTGCGAACTGCGCCGTGTTGGTCCTATCCAAACAATCGACGCAATTCGTCCTGATAATACCGGTCTGTCGGCTTCCGCTACTTGTTTGAGTCTGACCCACGACGGTACCGTTCACTTGCGAATAATATTTCGCATTATTGTGGAATATCCCCACTTTCATTACGGCACTTCTAGCGATTCCGGCGAGGTGGTCTAAAACCTTAGCGCTGGATTTGTTTTTCCGCGCCATATCGAACGTTTTGTAAACGATTTGATAGTCGACCGGCAAAAACTGATTCAAATATTTCACCGCCGAGCTGAACTGATCGCTCAATAGGGATTCCTGTTTTTTGCGTTCTCTCTGTTTAACTAAATTGAGGATGTATATAGGGGCGCCGTAACGTTTGAAGAGTTCGTTGAAATGGGCGCCCGCGGTTTCGGCGAATGGATCGTAAAAGTCAATGGTAATCGCTGGCTTGCCGACCATCTTGCCCATTTCTTGCTTCCAGTGACCTAAAATGGAAAAGTCGGGGTCCGACAAACTTTGTAGATACTTTAAATATGGAACTGAGCAGAGACAGGAACAATCCCAAACACTTTGCAAAAGCATCACTCGATGTAGAATTAATCAGTATTAAAAAGGATTTGCTTCATAATTTAAACGTTAGAGTTGAAGATCATAGAAAACACAATGAGGGGTGAAATACAAAAGTCAGGAATCGCGGAAAATGTATGAACCAAACAGCACCACATCAAATGGTGCGAAGCTCAGGTTGTCCACAGGGAATCGTATTCGAAAAAGCGAAAGTTTAAGAAAGCTATATTCATTAAAAACAATGGAAACATCTTTAGCAATCTAAATATGGAAATACCTACAATCTGGCAACCCTTAATAGAGCGCACCAATGTTGGAGTGCTAGGAAAACAACCTCACGGCTAAGTGCAAGCGACTCCGTCGCGGTTGAACGCTGTAGTATTACTACTGAATCAAGGTCTTACCACCTTTAAGTTAACGTGTTTTAATTCTTTTCAAATTTGTTTTATGGTGTCTTTTTAGATAAACATTATTAGAATTCTAGAAGCCACCAAACAGTAACGTGTTCAAGAGTTCTCAGGGTGTTAGTGGCATTTTTACAGCAGTATTTGCTCATTCTCATTCAATGTTCAGGGAAACCCAGTTCAGTGTGCGAAGATGGCTGTTTACAGATAAAATGGAGGTTAGTGTATCAAATTGACGGGAATTCACTGAAGATTATACCCATCTTTCCAACAATTATTTTTAGACAATTTTGATTATTGATTTTTTTTTAAATTTTATAATTTATATAATTATTATCACTATAGCATATTATATAACATTCATAACTCAAATTTCAATCAACATTTTTTGGTTTTTTATTATACCCAAAAATACAAACTAATTTTTTATTTGAACAGTATATAATTTCTGTACTCAGTAATATCGGTAAAAATCTTAAAAACTGATTAAGCGCCAATTTGGTCACAGCTAAACAAGCTGCGATGTGATTTAGCAACACTTTTCTTTGAATTACATCACTTATAGCAGTTGTGACAACTGTCGGCAGGTCTATTCACTATGCTGACAAATGTTCTCTTGAAAGGAGAACATGTGTCGCGTTTTCTTCAGCAAAGAAATTCTACTGAAGACAGATCAAGAGCGAAGTTATATCGGGAATTACAGTAGCTTCAAAAACGGTCTATCATTGACTAAATGGAAAATGGTTATTTAGATAGATAGATACTATAAGTCCTAAACCTATTTGAAACAATACCCGAAAAGTAATATAACACATATGTCAAATATGGAAAAACTTAAAAGTGATCTTACCTGGAATAGAACCCCGCATTTGCACGAAAGAAGTACAATGACTTTTACTCAGCGAAGACATTGCAGAATCATGAACCATCTGTTCTGTTTCCACCTCGTTAGCCACGTCTCCTTGGAAATTGGACCCCCTCTTCAAGAACCTAGTGCCAGCATATTTGCTCGATCTTCTAGCGATGAGCGTTACATACACTGATTTACCAAAAATATTTATATTACTTTGACCTATAAACCCGTGGCTTACAAACAATATCCAATCTGGATGAAGGTCTGCTTTCCGAGCTTCGCTGAGTAAGTGAAGATTCCAAACAAATTTTTCATAGGGCTGAGTTCTTATTCCAAAAAGTTGTTTTTCTTTCCTTTGGGGTAGCACCGAGCTGCTTAGAAGCCCGTGATTGTTATCTGGGAGGGTGTCAGATTCAGATTTCTCGGAATTGTTTGTTAGAAATTGTTTCGGTTCTGTTAAATTGTGTTGTAAACTATGTGTTATATCATAGCTGTAGCTGAAAAATAACTTTAACTTTAACTTAGGCTTTCGCAAACTGTAACTATTTCTATAGATATTCAAACCAATCACTTATGGATCAAAGTTTTTTATAAATAAAAAAGTATTAATCGTAATTAAATAATTTTTATGAGACTCAGATCTTAAGATTCCCACAAAATAATAAACTTCACCTGAGAGATGGATCCCCAATTGATCAGTGGTCGGCATAATAGTCGCATACTGTAAATTCTAAATTCTAAAGCAAATCTATGTGAGAAGCAAGTGACGCCATTTATATTCAAAAACAGACCAGATCTTCCATTGTTTGGAAGACCAGCCAGCTATTAGAAAATGGGAGATCTATGGACAAGTCAAAAATTAGCATCATATGCTAACCAACTGTAATTACAAACGAGAATAATGTCGAGAGTCAATGATTGTTGAAAGTTTGCACGTGGCATTTTGAAGCAATGTTTTTTTTCTATTTTATGTAAATTCCTTTTCAAAATTACCTAAAATAAAAGTTACTGGCTAAGTCGATGCTTTGAAACATCTTCACATATCTTGATTCGTCTTGATGAATAACTCTGGCTGATTCATGGGGAATGTAGATCATATTTGTGTCCTCTATTTTATAAATCGTATGATGACCAATAACGGCTACTTTTCTTCTTTTAGTTATTAATATGATATAACTGCCTTCAAGAAATTTAATAAACCCTGAAAGGTACTCCTTGGCAAACGTAAAAAATAGACTTCAAATATAATATTTACCTACAATACCAAATGCGGATATAGTTCTTGAAACACCTCCACCAGCTTTCCTATTGCCAGAATCAATCATTCCTACAAGATCGTGAATTTCTTCTGCAGTATACTCCATCTTATCATCATAAATATACAAGTCTTTGGGATCTGTCCGATCTATTTTCAACACTCGAAACCGAGTTTGTGTATTATTGGAACCCACTAAATAAAATTTCTGAAAATTTCCAATAAAATTCAAAAATGCGCGCAATGTCAGTTTTTTCGCTTACAGATTTAGTTTCATAAAGCGCCATTTTCTGAATGGAGCTAATAATAGGAAAAAATTCGGCCCCACTTTTGTCCATATTAGAGCAGATTTGGTTGCTTCTTAGTTCAACAGCTTTATTAACATAATATTAATGTAAAACACCTTTCCTAAAGAAATGTACCTCAACCCTCTACTGGAAGTACGGAGTGCTAAAAAGGAAACAAATTACGATGTGTACAAAATGCATCAAAAAAATTGTCTTGTAATTACTCCTTTTAATATTGGCCCTAGAGGTGCCATGTTCTAACCGAACCCAAACGGTCAATTACAAGGATGGCGATTACGATTACTAACCACAACTTGTTGTATAACTACTATTATGCTGCTATAATATATATTATGCAACAAGTTTGATAAATGACACTTTAGTCACGAGTTTCTTTTGGTCCGAATGCCTAAAGAATTTTATAAACGTGTTGCATACTATACTCTTTCTATGACCATCCGATTGCTCCCAAACCCGTGACTAAAACTACGTTTATCAAACTTGTTGCATAATCTACTATTATTGCGACTTTTTATATTGGAAAACATTTTTTCATAATCTACATTATATAAATTGACTATTTTCATTCAAAGATTCCAAGCATGAAGAGAAAATTTATGCGGATAATGCGTCTCGGTATTTATCACTTTTCTGAATGTTAGTTCTTCCGAAATTTTAATAAGAAATTCTAGACAGCCCAGATTGCAAGTTTCTAGGATATTCTATATTTTACCCATTTTTCGCGAGAATAAAAATTGCGATATGGTGCAGTAGGTTTACTTTCTTTTTTTTCTTATATGTCATCTACTTTTGATTAAAAAAAGTCAAGTCATATTGTAAATATATTCGGTATAATTTATGTAGACATACAAGCACCAATTACTATTAGCATTAATTATTGTTAGGAACTATTTAGAGTGAAAAACATAAACAATGGCATATTACATGTAAGAACATAGGCTCCTCTAGAAGTGTCTATTCACCTTTACGAGTTAAAAATACTAATTTAAAAAATTAATACTTATAAAACTCTTAATTACATTACATCATCGCTCCTTAAATAGCTTCAGTCTTCCTATCTTCAGCTATTCGTTCCTGTCAACTTGGACTGACTCAAGTGTTTTTTTATTGGTTCTAGATATTTTTTGGTCACCTTTTTTGTCATTCTTTTCATTTTCTTCTCTGTTAAATTTTGCTGTGAAGTTCAATTTAATTTTTGTTTCTTCATGAACCACGTTAAATAATGTTACAATTGTTTCATATCTTTGATAACAACTTCATAATTTTCTTTAAGTGTAGGTAAAAATTTTGTTCTATATATGTCTTCTTCACATCTTATTTGTGATGTATTCTGTTTTACCTTGATTTTTTTTATCATTATTATTTATGTATTAATAAACTAACTTTTGATAATAAAACAAACACTGGTTTTTGTGGTTTGTCTTTGGTTTCATACCTAAACACCTTCTCCCAGATAACTCTGGTCACTAGACAATAATATACATAAATAGGACAGAAACTTCTACGCTTTTTATTTTTTTGGAAAGTCTGGTAACTGGTACCCTCTTTCAGTCATTTATAAGAGTAGTTCAATTTGTTTTCACACTAATGTGGCAAATTCTTGTACTACAGGCAACAATGCTTGTTCTACCACTCTATAATTTTCCCTATTATTAACATTCATTAAGATTAAATCAAACATGTTTTGCAGAGAGGTCCTTAGTTTTTCCGGGTCATCAGAGATATCTGAACTTGTTACCCCAGTTGATGCCATACAATCATCAGATTCCCACGTTTTAACAATACATTTAACATCCCTTTCTGAATCACTATGCAAGCTAATCATAGCTTCAATATTATGCAGATCTTTTCTGGTTAATAAATGAAGCCTTTCTAACTTACTTTGCGAAGCATTGGTCCGAACCTCATTTAAAATTTTGTCAAAAGAAATGTTTTGTTTAATTTTTGCTGCAATTTCTTGTTTCTTAGTTTTGGATAGAATGATCCGACATAGGTCCATTTCATGGCCAACATGAGTTTTTGTAAAGTTTACTTTGACAACATTACTTTCTTTTAAAACGGTGGCTATTAACTTAGCAGGACAATAACCATTAATTTTATTGCTTCCCAACAACTTTAACCGGCGAATTTGCTTTCCACAGGTTTTATAAAAACCATCTCGGTGGCAGCGATAAAAATGAATAATTTGATTAGTTGTTTGTTTGGTTCTGTGTCTTATAAACTTTGCAATTGTATCATCTTCCATCTGTTCTTTCCATTTTTCAAAATCCTCAAGATGATCAAATTCTATTCTTTCTGTAATTATTTTTATCGCATGACTTTGGTTATAATGCCCAACCATATCTTGTTTTAAACATTCTAACCCACATAGCAAACACTTTATTATCCGTAAACTTCTATTAATCTTATTATTTTGAGAATGCACTCTTTCGATGTGACGAATCAAGTTAGATTTTTTGTTAAAATTTTTATGACAATGGTAACAAATAAAATTTGGTGGACTTCGGGTTTTATGCTTTGGCTGCTTAGTATCCATTTCGACTTACCCAACAATCAAATATCCGCCTTAAACTAAAGTAAAGGTGCCATTATAAACTGCCACCCACCGCCCAAATTTCATATATATTTTTTAATACGAATCCCCAACGGAAATAAAATAAAATGAAGCAAAGTGTAAATCAACAAACAACAGACACAGAATTCAGTTTAACAAATTGTTTTCGTGTACTCTCGTCCTTCGTAATCACAACTCACAACATAAAATGAAACAAATAACTAGTTAACTAACTCTCTTTAAAGCATTTACTCCACATTTACGCAAGTATGATTTGTAGAAAAACTAAAATATAACACTTATCGAGTGACACAAGTATGGATACGAGAGATATTCATTCCGCTTTGCAGCAAAGGGGGGTCAGTGACGTACTACGTTCCCTTATCCAAAGATTTGCGGAGAATTTTTTTAAGCAAAATTTATTTAATTCAAAGTTTACTATACCGTTCCAATCACACAGATCAATATTAGCCAGCGGCGAAATATCAAATAAACTAATCAAACAAACTAAATTGTTGTAGAAGTTTAAAAAAAATGTGACCTCAGAAATAAACCAAACAACACATGAACGTTCGCGTTGGACAGAACCAGTGAACAGTGAACATAAAACTAACAAGTTTACATGCTATACGTTGTGAATAGCATGTATTTATTTTTTACTATTTTGATGTGGAATAGAATTTTTTAAATTACTCGTTTTTGTTATGTAGTTTCAGAGGACGTTAGTTGGCACAAACATTTTTGTATTTCATATGAGCGGTATATTAATTAACAATACCCCATCGGTCAGTCATGTTCAGACGGGTAGTACTGCACCTTGTGCTTATGAAGAGTTTGGTGCACCCCCGTCATACGAGGAAGCGATAAACCCAAATGGTATTTCAGTTATTAGTTTTTTTTAATAAAAAATGTAATATAAAGCAAAAATTATATAAACAGACCAAACAACCAGATCCCTCACAAAACTCTCGTTTTGTAATAATATTAGACAATTTGAAACATACTCTTTCTTTACTTATGTTATTTTGATTTCACTTGATATGGTTCTTAATTCTAATTTTAGCACCTCCTCCTTCTTATGATTCCCTTTTTGGACGTGTTCGGGAAGCCCAAAAGACAAGTAAAGGAATTTTAGATTTTTTGAAAAATGTTATAATTATTATTTTAGGAACTCGTAAGTAATAATGGTGTTATTGGACCAATGATATTTTAATGCAAATTATCAATTTTAGTTGGGTGTACAATAATATTAGGCGTTACAATAGTAATTCCAATATGTATGATTGTTATGGGGTCCATTTACTTGCACGAGTGCCCTCAAGGGGAGTACATTCCAGTTTATCTACTTGTAGGAGGTAAGGATATTCCTGTAAAAAGTTTTGTTCATTTATAATTAATATTTGCAAATGGATTTAAATAAATGTTTGAAGAAATAAATCCAAAATTAAATATCTCTCTGGCTCTGCTTGGTGTGTTGCTTTTTCTTAACATCATTCAGGTGAGTAATCTGAATCTTTTCATAAATTATATATTGTCTCCTAAAACAAAAATGTAAAACAACTATTACATCCTAAGCCTTAGTGATAAATGTGTTACAGAAAGTCACCCTTATTTTTTAATAATATATACTTAACATTATGTGCAAGTTATAGTTATCACAGGAAAGTTGAGTAATAAAGTAATAATATTTTGTATTTACTTTTTTCATAAACTCGATAATATATTTTGAAATGTGGGATACCCTGTAGACTCTAACTTTCTCATATGGAAAATTAAGTTGATAAACTGTTTTTATCCATAAGTCCATAATGTCTTCCTATTATTCCTATTGCATTATATGAAATAATAATGGCATAGAAAATGGAAAGTTAATTCCCATAGGTCATTGATTCTAAAATACAAAAGTTTTAGGAAATAATAATTACCAAATCAACAACAAAAAAATTGCTAAATGAGCCTGTTCAAACCAGATTGGCAGAAAATTTGTAGAGTAGATAGACAGTGCTAAACATTTTTTAGGTATATTTGGTATATTAAAGCAGCTACTTCATCTCTCAGCAAGAGTACGACAGACAGAGGAGGAACGACAAGAAGAAAATCTTAGGCAATCTCCGACTCAGACTTTACTAAATTGCTTTATGCTTGGTTGGTTTATAATCGGGTCCGTATGGGTTTATAAGGAATACCAGCCTAATTATGACCCCTCCTTCGGACAATATTGTAACAAAAACTTGTACCTTTTTGCTTTTTGGCTTATCACATCCGTCTACATTTTGTTGGGTATAGTTACAATATGTTTGTGCTCGATTAGTATAGCGACTGTTATTTTTCACACCGATAGAAGTGACGAAAACACCACTACCGGCCGTCATTGGTAAATTGCTTTTTAAAAAATATTTTCCAAAAATTAACTTTGGTGGTTTAATTTTCTTGTTTTATATCCGATATAACTTTGCTTTTGCTATATACAGGTACCTAAACTGTAACTGTCAAACGAAATATATGAAAATTGTTGTTTGAGGTTGTCATATTTTATATAAAAATAAGTTTTTGTAAAAGATATTTTGTAAGCCCGATTTTTGTATTAGTTTGGGATGAAACCTAACAAAAGCTACCTAAAATGGCCATTTCTAATCAAGTTACTAATTTAAAAAATGATTAAAATAAATAGCTATAGTAGAAAAAAAAGAAAGTTTAAATAATTTTTTAATTTTGCAATTTAAAATCTCAAACATCGTTTATTTAAAGTCCAAATATTCTGCTCCTAGCGACTTCTACAAAATACACCTGTTTTACGTAAAAATTACATTCGTGTACATGGCGGCCATCTATAACTTAGAACCGTAATAAAATAAAATTCTAATATCGCAAGTCAAAACCCCTAAAATACCCAATTATTTCGAAAAAAAGTTAAGCTACATACTTCATTACAGGCTGTTAATTAAGTATGTATTGTAAGGCTGAGTCTGCTCATTACATCTTCAAAGGAATGTATCAAATTTCCTGTAATCTTTCTAAAAACCACTGAACTATTGAAGTGCACATGATTAAAATCGACTAGTCCATTATTTTTTTAATTCGTTCGGCAAAAGCTGCGCTTATGTTGGATGTGAAACATTTGTATCAATATACTTAATTTTGGGACTTGGGATTATATCAAAAATAAGTTTGAATCTCAGACTATTCATACCTGAAGGAGTTCGATTATTTTTTATTTGTGTAATGTGCCAAGGTTTTGTTGACGAGTGCATCTTTCTATATCTGTGATAAAATTTATTTTACATATTTTTATATAAACTGTATTGTTAAATCATTTAGTCGTGTTGACGTTTTTATATTTTACGTTGTTAGTGTAAATTGCATTAGATAGACATAGTTTAATATTTACAAGTTATAAATGCAGAGGTTTATTTTTTACTTTCGCAATTGTCAAGTGTAATTTTTTTGCGCTTTAATATTTGTTGCAATACTCGTTACACGAACAAATTAGTATAAATATACTTATGTATTAGTATTGAGTTAACATTAAATTTGATCTGTTATTGTATCCTAACAAAGCCAAAGCTGAGCGTGAACGCTTTGGGTGATTCCATATTAAATATTGTGGCAGGTTTGCTCATGTTTAAGTGCCATACAAAATTTTCATACACATTTCATTGTTTCATGCATTGCAAATATTGGACTAAAATTGTATGTCTTTTATCAACGCAGTTTTGTTGAGGTAATTTTAATTAAATCAGTGTAATTTTTTAATCAAAAATTCGAAAAGCTTGTGTTCTTTTTTTGTTTGCGATCATATATGAAAAACGTCCCCTTTGTAGTATAGTGGTTTCATAAAGAGATATTTGTTTCGCAAAGTTTCACGGCGCGTTTGCAACATTTTTCTTACAGTTGCACCCTGGCGCAACGAGTTTTTGCCAATATATCATATATGTATATACTCTGAATATTGGGAATTCATTCCAAGGCAATAAGTTTCCCAGGAATGTAAGTTTCTATTACAGAACAATGTAACTAATACCAATTCTTTGGATTGAGATGGTCGTAGTACGTCATATACCGTACGCGCTCTGCTAAACACGGGATGTCTTTTCCTGTTGCCAACCAGACTGCAAACAAAAAGGAGTGCCCTGGTGCAGCGTTCTTAGGTTTTTGGCCACACGCGAACAAAAAGATTATTAGCATATAAAAACCAAAATGCCTTAGATTGTTTTGTACTAGAAATTTAACTTTTATGAAATTTATAGCATTAAAAACAGAAAAAACTATCCATAAAGAACGTTTTCTATCCTATACTGTGGGCCCATGATCGCAGTGCCAAGGATATTTTCTCTCTATCCTTTGCTGCTGATTGTGGCGGGATTTTGATTTAGGATGTGTATGGTTAGAAAATATAGAATTTAAAGGAAAATGAATAATACAAATTGTGAAAAATTGTCGAGCCCGTCTGAATTCCCTTTTCCGTTTCAGCCATACGATATTCAATTAAAATTTATGCAAAACATTTACGATACTGTGGAACGGGGTAATTTGGGAATTTTCGAGAGCCCCACCGGAACCGTAAGTTTGAAAAAATGTTGGAAAAATTGGTTATAATCGTTTTCCTGACTATTTTAAGGGAAAATCTTTAAGTATTATTTGTGGAGTATTAAAATGGTTAGAAGACCACAACCATTCACAGATGGAGACATTGTCAAACAACATTGAATCTCTAGAATTAGAGAAAGCAAAACTCGCTGAGGACTCGAAAGACTGGTTTACATCGCAAACTAGAGCAATGGAAATTTCTCAAAAATTGGATTTATTGAAGTGTGAGGCAAACAAGAGACTCGAATACAATAAAAAAATTGAAGATATAAGAAAATGTGGTGAAAAAAACAAAGTCAAAATATTTAAAGCTCGAAAGGCAAATATAGGAAAGGATACAGAAGACTCAGGACACATTACAGAATTGGAAGACAATGACATTTTATTACTGGACGAATTAACAAGTCAAAATGATAATATAAGTGATGATGAATCTCACAATGAAGAGGAGAAATTTACATATAAACCTACCAAAGTAAGGTGTTTATGATCAAAATATCATGTTCAAACTGTTTGTTTTTTAAAGATTCTTATAGCAAGCAGAACACATTCACAATTATCTCAGTTTATTGGAGAAATAAAAAAGTCTCCATTTGCTCAACGGGTCCGCATCACATCTCTGGCATCAAGGCAAAACTATTGTATCAATCCCTGTGTCAGACAACTAAAAAATATGTCGTTGATTAATGAGAAGTAAGTAATATTTTATTAAAGATATTAGGATTTCTTATTTTGATGTTAGGTGTTTAGACTTACAGAAGAAAACATCAAAAATGTCTAAAATTGATGATTCTGAACGTAAAACATTGAAAAAACAAAAGCTATCAAATTGCCAGTGTCCATATTTTAAATGCGCGGCCATTGAAGAATTGCGTGATTGGAGCCTGACTGGAGTACATGATATTGAAGACTTGGTTCAGGCAGGCAAGGAGTTAAAGGCTTGTCCATACTATGCCAGTCGAAAAGCTGCCGAAGATTCTGAAATAGTTTTGATGCCCTACAATACATTACTACATAAGCCCACTCGAGAAGCAAGCGGAATTGATTTAAAAAACAATGTGGTCATTATAGATGAAGCTCATAATCTGCTGGAAGCATTAACTCAAATGCATAGTTCAGATTTGACTTACCTACAACTTTATCACTCATTAAATCAGTTAAAGAACTATAAACAAAAATATTGCACATTATTTTCTGCTGCCAGTTTGTTAAAAATTAACCAATTAATATTTGTGGTCAATAAACTTTATCAGATGTTAGGTAAGTTCCTACAGATGAAAATGGACCAAACATCCCTTAAGTTTTTTTGCAGAAAAAGAGGTCAAAGAAGATGTCACCGAAATCAGTACCCTGGAAAACTTTGTTTTCACAGCTGGAGTTGGGAATTATAACATATTTGATCTAATAAAATTTTGTAAGGAAAGTAGACTATCTCAAAAGGTTAGTATTAGATTCGCTGGATATCTTTAAAAGTTTAAAGTTTTCATTTTTAGATAAGATCTTATATTATTAAATACCCGATAAATGAAGAAATTGCAAAAAACAAATCAAAAAAAGGTATCACAAACTTTTTGCAGAGTATAGAAAATAAAAAATGTTCTATAAATCAGCAAAAAAAACTGGTTGATCCTGTTCCAAATTTGGTAGGAACCCCATTGATACATGTAATATCTTTCTTGGAATCATTGACATACTCATGTCATGATGGTCGAATTCTACTTTCAATAAGACGCAACAAGCAGGAGAATAGAATGCAATTTTTGCTGCTGAATCCTGCTTCTCTTATCAGCGATTTTATTAGAGATGCCAGATCGGTATGTGACTTTGTTCGGGAATTTCGTAAGTTAATGTGAGGGTCAAAATCTGCAGGTCATTGTAGCCGGAGGGACAATGAAACCAAATTCTGAGTTTAGGGATCAATTATTTATCAATGCAGGGGCCCAATCCAATAGAATTGTGGAGTTTTCATGTGACCATATAATTCCGGCTAATAATATCCTGCCTATAATTTTAACAAATGGAGCAAATCAAGAAGATTTACTGTTTAATTACACCAACAGAATGTCTATGGTAAGCAGTCTAATTTTCGAAAAAGTTTATTCTTTATTGTTTCTTTCATCTGAACATTTCTGTTATCATACGTTTTTATAGTATTTTTAATCTGGAAATGACATTTTTTTTATAAACAAATTTATTAACTTAAATTATGTTCTTTGTATTAAATTTCTTAGGTGGTCAGGAAAAAATTTCGTCAGCAATTCGGGATGTGAAAAAAAATCAATCTTTTTACTCACATTTTACTTTGGTAGAGAAGAATGAGAATGGTAGAGAATTATTAAATCAATCCCTGTCTTTAATTACATTGTTCTCGGTATGTCTTTGTTACTTTGGCTTTTTTTGTTCACCTTAAGATGATATTTGTGTGTATATATATATATATATATATATATATATATATATATATATATATATATATATATATATATATATATATATATATATATATATATATATATATATATATATATATATATACGATGACACTATATTCCGGGATATCATCCGTTCGCTTGTTGAACTCCGACTGGAATCCTGCAGACGTTTCGCCAAGCAGTGAAGATGCCAAGTGAGATTTTGGCGAAACGTCTGCAGGATTCCAGTCGGAGTTCAACAAGCGAACGGATGATATCCCGGAATATAGTGTCATCGTATATATATATATATATATATATATATATATATATATATATATATATATATATATATATATATATATATATATATATATATATATATATATATATATATATATATATATATATATATATATATATATATATATATATATATATATATATATATATATATTTATATATACATCCCGCTATTTTCCGAGCGTCCTTTCATGGATCCGTCTCTGAGCGTCCAGTATCATTTTCTTCAAGATCCCTACTTTAACAAGTGAATATTTTGAAGTTTTATAAACGAGATGGCGTTGAGTTTCCTTAGGACAGATTTTACGAAGATAATTTTTGTGAAGTTTTATGATACTTATATGTCGGCGTCCTTTTATAGAGGTACCTTGCTAGCGTCCAATATACACGGGAAAACTTTTACATTTCAGCATCCTAGCGTCCGTATGTATATTTTTCATTTATTGGGCAGATTTCTGAGCGTCCGAGCAACGTTGCCCGATTGATTGTGTATTAAAGTACATATAAATAGATATGGTCTTTAGAACACGCTTCTCCTTTTTAACATGACGGTGCACAGTCGAGCGGGTATAAGGCGATTCATGTTTTCGCTATATTTTGAAAAATGTTTTGTTGCTAACTGTTTTATTTTTTATTGTATTATTTTTTTTTGTAGATTTGGTAGTTTTTAAAGCTCTTTGCTAAACTTAATTTCTTTGTGTAGATGTTTTCTTTAACACGTCGCCCGATTTTGGAAAGTAATTCTTGAATTTTTTGATTCTTGAATATGTTTGCCAGAAATATTGCACATGTATTTACGTTAGCCAGGCGCTGCTTGGACATAAACCTAACCAATAATAATAATAATTGAAAGCAAATACTATTATTAATTTTTCAAAGAAACTTCCACAGGCTACTGTAATACTTTCTACAAAACTTCTGGTTTCCTCCTGCGCCGGTTTTTGCTGAGTCGAACTTGCTGACGTTTCGCCAATCTTCCTGTTGGCTTCTTCAGGGATTGAGTGAAACTGGCTCGCATTTTACTCTGTACCTGTATATATATTGTTTGAGGGGGGCGGAGCTAAATGAGGGGCATGAACACCGTCTCGGATCACTGATTCCCATGTTGGTGACCGGTAAAGACCAGAGTCGCGGTTAAGATTCTTTGGTTGTTTAGAGATTTGTTTGATTACATACAAGAATTCGCCAACAGCTGATGAATTTATTTGTCTTAGTCGTAAGGCTCTTTCGTGTTCTTTGAGCCTAGTTGATATTTTTCGTCCGGTTTCTCCAATGTATTCTTTGCCGCATATGTAACCCAGAAGTTTTGTAAAAAGTAAATACTAATATTTAAATATTATTTTTTTAAATTGTTTACTAAGTTCTTGACAGTTGACTTATTTGCAGATCAATAAATTATGGTACCAAACTAAGAAAAACTGTTAATTTAGAAATTATGTAATATAATTTCAACTGGCCAACTGAGGCAATATTACTGTGTTGTTTGTGCTTAATGTTGGTCTAAAATGGGCCGATGTTAGTTATTTGGAGTAATTAGAAGTTACTATTTTAGTTTAATTAAAAAAAATTATAAAGAACACAGACAACTGCGATGAAAACGGCATTCGTTACTCGTTAAAATTAACATTTTCTTCAGAAGGCTATTTACAAATCTTCTAGATCCCTTCTGCATCTTTTGTTTATAAATAAAGTTAGCTGACGTTTCACCAATCATCCTGATGGCTTCCTCAGAGCTTAAGTGAAGCTTGCTCACATTCTATTCTGAACTCACTGATATACTGTTTGAGAGAGGCGGAGCTACAAGAGTGACATGAACATTGTCTCGGATTTCCATATTGTTGAAAATCAGAGTCGCGGTTAAGATTGTTTGGTTGTTTAGAGATTTCTATTAATTTTCGGATATTTCCCTGGTAGAAGAATCGATTACATTGATTAATTTTTAATTTGATCGAATGAGATTTTGGTGTCATTATTGTTTTCGGCAACTGCTTATTTGTCATAGTCGTATATTTTTTGTTCTGTTTCTCTGGTTAGTTTTGACATAGCTCTTTCAGATATATTGCAATTCGGGAATCTGGAATCAAACATATTCAACCAAATTGAAAAATGCTTGTCTGGAACATATTTTTCTTGTAACGGTCAAATTTATGAACAGGACCAGCTGTGAGATCTCCAGAATGGTTGGCGAAACGTCAGAAAGTTCGATTTATCAACTACCGACGCAGGTAGAATGCAGAATATTTGTAAATAGTCTTACATTATTCTGTGAAAGTTTCCTTTAAAAAAAAATCTTCAGAAATCTTTGCTAAACAAGTTTGATAAACGCCATATTAGTTTATTTGGCACGAATGGAGCGAGTGCTTAATAAATGAGTGAAAGAAGAAGTTTACTATATGCGTGTACCTTGACCATCAGAATCGACAAACCAAAGCACTGGCTAATATATCACCGGAAATATCCGCAGTGGCTCGCAGCCCTACGTAACGTCTTTAAGCCACACTGTATAATGCGTATTTTAGAGCAGGAATGTAAAAGGGGGATTTTTTTAAATCAATTTGGGAAAAAATTTAGATGATATCCAAGGAACTAAAGAGACACTTTTTATCCCGAGGCAAAACTTTATAGAGAATATGTCGAAAATCACCTAAAAAGATACTTTATTTCAGAGGTTCATTGTTAGGATTTAAGTTTAGGTACATTAAAAAAAGTAATATATGAAAATATTGTTCAGTGGCAGTGGTGATACATTATTGTACTTTACTTTTCATCCCTCACATTCCTTGTTTAACTTCATTTTTATTTATATCTTAGGCACAATGAAGAAAAATAACTATTAAAAAGAACACTTTTATCGAATAACTTTTATCAAAGTTCATTTCAAAATAATAATTCTTACTAAAAAATGTTACTTTTCACATTTATTTTGGTTTGATTAAAAGCAAAAGTCAACAATTTAAATCGTTCAATAAAATAGTTCTTATATGTTGCGCACTTTAATAGGCGACCTATTAATATTAATGAAATATTATTAGACGATAAAATCAAAATATTTTATTACCTAATTATTTAGATAAGTATTTAGCAAATGATATTTTAATTTGCAAATTCCAACAACTTCTTTTCCTATTGCATTAAACAACCATTTATGTTCAATATTTCTATAATATAAATATTTATATTCGATATTTTTAATATTTCGAACACCGTTCTAAATAGCATTTAGCAGAAATTATCGGAAGAAAGTAATAAATCTAAAAATGTGCCCAAAAATTAAAAAAGATTCAGAAGTTATTGCATAGTATTCGCATATAAAAAACCAAAACTTGTTGGTGCCATTTTGTTTAATTAAAACATTTTAATAATGTTGCTTCATGGATCTGAAGATTATATAATGCAATAATAATAAAATAATCGAAAAATAGCAATTTGTGCAACTAAATAAAAAATAAATTTTTTTTTAAGTGATCGAGGATGGCTCGGTTGGTAAGTCGTTAGACCTGCCAACTCGACTTGCAGTAGAAGTTGTTGGTTCGATTCCCACCTGGAGTCTTGGGTGTTGTTATTGCGTTTGTTGTCCGACTTTAACGACTGACTTCAATCTAGTCAGGCTTCTAAGTAAAGACAGACGCGAGTTCATTGAATTAAGGTAAAAAAAAATGCAATCGGCGGACAAATAGTTGAAAAAAGAATAACTTTATGCAATGAGCGGATTTTCTCACGAAGAGAGCAAGCGAAACAAAAGAGTTTGGCGACGTGTCACAGAATGTTGTTTTAAATTCTAATATCATATAAAGCGTACGGCATTGGCAACAGGATACAAATATGATTTTTGTAAATTTTGAATTCTTTACCACACATTTCGAAAATAAACTTTTATTAATTATTTAATTTTTTAATAAAAAAAAAAGTCTTGTGCATTGGTGTTACGTTTACGTTAATTCCAACTTAGCCTACTTCCGAATTCGTGGTAAAAAAATAAAATTCTTTATTTCCACCGTCTCTACATGCTCGAACTACGGAGCGCCAATCGAGTTCATTCAATATGAAAAACAAAACAACTAGGCGAAGCAGAGCCGTTACCCCAAAATTTCGCGCCAGTCTGCAAAAGTTAATAGTGACAGTGTTGCCACGTAACAAAGACGCAGAGGACGCCTGGAAATCGACGAGCTGAAAGTAGAATATATCTTGTAAAATATACAGAGACTGGGTCTCGCGCCTCTACCGGGTATACAGCTGAACTAACAATATACAAAAAAAATCAGTTTACTAAGATCGTAGCGTCTTTGTGAAAATTTTAATTTAGACTACTTAGATCTTGTTTATACCGTTTCTATAGCGCTGCATCCGGGCGTCCATATATGGACGCCCGGTTGTAGACGGACGCTCGGAAAATAGCAAATTGTTAATGTACGGACGCTTGAAAGATAGTGGGATATATATATATATATATATATATATATATATATATATATATATATATATATATATATATATATACAAAAATATAAAAATATATATAATATATAATATAAAGTAACAAAGACATACCGAGAACAATGTAATTAAAGACAGGGATTGATTGGCTTGTCACGCGTAACATTAGCCTACAAAAAGCACCGTCATTAAAATTTCAAATAATATAATAATTATAGTTATATTTTTGTGCCGTTCGCTTACTTTCAACAAGCAACATGAGTTCCATTGGCACTGGTGTAAGTACATATATGAATATCCGTTTTCTATTGTTTGTATTTAATCACTCTTTTTAGTATGATTTATCTGCTTCCCAATTTTCTCCCGATGGACGAGTTTTTCAAGTTGAGTACGCTATGAAAGCAGTAGAAAATAGTGGTACAGTGATTGGACTGAAAGGTAGTGATGGGGTTGTGTTAGCTGCTGAAAAGTTAATCCTGTCAAAATTACATGAACCCAGCATATATATATATATATATATATATATATATATATATATATATATATATATATATATATATATATATATATATATATATATATATATATATATATATATATATATATATATATATATATATATATATATATATATATATATATATATATATATATATATATATATATATATTCACTTATTGATTCATTGATTGATTGATTGATTGATGGAAAAATGTGATGCCACTATATTCCGGGATATCATCCGTTTGCTTGTTGAACTCCGACTGGAATCCTGCAGACGTTTCGCCAAAATCTCACTTGGCATCTTTACTACTTGGCGAAACGTCTGCAGGATTCCAGTCGGAGTTCAACAAGCGAACGGATGATATCCCGGAATATAGTGTCATCGTATATATATATATATATATATATATATATATATATATATATATATATATATATATATATATATATATATATATATATATATATATATATATATATATATATATATATATATATATATATATATATATATATATATATATATATATATATATATATATGATGACACTATATTCCGGGATATCATCCGTTCGCTCGTTGAACTCCGACTGGAATCCTGCATCCGACTGGAATCCTGCAAATCTTGCATCCGACTGGAATCCTGCAGACGTTTCGCCAAAATCTCACTTGGCATCTTCAATGCTCGCGCTCCGAAAACACTTCGAACACTCGAAGTGTTTTCGGAGCGCGAGCATTGAAGATGCCAAGTGAGATTTTGGCGAAACGTCTGCAGGATTCCAGTCGGATGCAAGATTTGCAGGATTCCAGTCGGATGCAGGATTCCAGTCGGAGTTCAACGAGCGAACGGATGATATCCCGGAATATAGTGTCATCACATTTTTCCATCCGTGAATCAATACGTGAGAATATATATATATATATATATATATATATATATATATATATATATATATATATATATATATATATATATATATATATATATATATATATATATATATATATATATATACAAAAATATCATCTTAAGGTGAACAAAAAAAGCCAAAGTAACAAAGACATACCGAGAACAATGTAATTAAAGACAGGGATTGATTTAATAATTCTCTACCATTCTCATTCTCATTTAGACTTTTGGGTCAGACTTAATAACAATTTAAATTTAAAATTTAAAACAAACAACAACAAAATTAGTGTTGCATTACTGAAAGCACATGATGTTTTTTACTTTTGATATTTCGGCCATGTCAATAGCTTTTCTCAAAAAAAATTTTATACGTAACATACTGCAAACAAAATAAAAAAAAAGTTGGACGTGACACACATAAATGACATAGTATAAACAATCACATTTTAAAAATCGATTGTTTTTGGTTTTCTGTTTTCTATCTCCTCAAAGTAATCACAACAATTGCTTTATTGTTGATCTCCTTTTTGTAGTTTTGGTTTCGATAAATATAGGTAGATTCTAATATTTCTCCTTTTTTTACATTATGTTCGGCTTTTAGTAGTTCGACACCGTCAAAACGGAATTTATGGTTTTGCTTGTCTTTGTCTATTGATAGGGCAGTTGATTTATCATATTTATGACTTTTTATTCGGTTTTCAAGATATTGGATGGTTTGACCAAATTACTTCCTTTGTTTAGTGGTCTCTTTTGTTTGAGTTTAGAAAATGCTTGAGATATTAGATTGTAATAGAGATATAGATGAGATGAGATATTAGATTGGAATATTTACTTCACTTAAGAACCGTTCACCCTTGTAAAATCTCTGTTTATTCTTCTAGTTTGATTTCTTTTTTTATAGGTCCTTCAAAAACCACTAAAACCTGATATTTGTTATGGCTATTAGGGATTTATTTAAGAACGAATTCTTATTCAGGACAGTGAAACATAATGTCTTGGTGCCTTTTTTGAAAGATCAATCCAACAAAAAAAAAGTTATAAAAATCAACCATAATCACAGATTTTACAACGATATTTCAAACACCCTGTATTGAAACATGATAGAAATTGGGATAGTTGGGTTCTAAGTACTCCTCAATAAGAATTCATTGCCAATTTATTTTTGTTAAAATTCCTATTAGTACTTCTTTCGACCCTCTCTTTTGTTACATAACATTAAGTTGAAGAAATAAGCAAAACAAGATTGCTTTCGCGAAATCGTCGCTGGGCGGGGCGAGTTCGTAACGCGTCAAGCCAAGTAGCTTTCTATTTCAAAAAGAATCTCCTTCGCGTTTTCTTGTCCTAGAGTTAGGCATTATTTTTCTATCGTGCTACTGTGGACCACTATGGAACTTTCGCAACATCTATGTACTTTTGTTTTGCATGCACGCTGTATAAAGTGGCTTTCACGTCTCACCCAACTTCAAAGTCATGGCATACTTTGATAAATATGAAAATTTGTACAAGTAATAGCGATTTCCAATGATATTTCTTCAAATATCTCGAGCACCCTGTATGATAGACGAAACCTGAAACTCTCTGTCGACATAATTTACTATACTGTTTAAACCAAATTATCCTGTTTTCATATGCATTTCTTTAAATATCTCGAGCAGCGTACGTGATAGACGAAAACCGTAAATACAGAAATTGTACCTCTTGATGCGGTCTATAATACCATCTGAACCAATTAGCCATATTTTTTACGAATTTTGATTTACTAATAATAATTTACTGTTTGAAAGAACAATTTTCAGAGACTTTTAGATGCCCACAATCGAAAAACCCTGTATATAATTGAAAAAATACCTGAAATGTTATAGCATTAGATCTTCCGCGTCTGCTGGTTAAATAATTTTGCCGATCACGCTAATAGTTTTGGAGAAAATATTTTCTGTTGGAAAACAAAATAACAAAAAAAAAATCAAAAATTAAAAAAAAAATACTTTTTGGCATTTGATTGCGCCCAACAAGTGTTTAAGTGTGAGTTGGGACTTCTACCTCTCTGCCAAATCTGAAGTTGGTAGCTGCAAATTTCGAGCACCTATTACGTTTTTGAATATTGTGCAGAATGTCGCGAACGCCGTGTAGAATAGCTAAAAGCCTTAAATACAAAAGTTTTAGATGTCTGAATGACAGTCTTCTAGTTATGGCGGGTACACTCTGTACATTTTTGAAAATTACGAACAATAAAAGTTTATAGAATTAGATCTCCCGGATCTTCTGGTTCAAAAATTTCGTCGATCACTTAAGTGGTTTTGAGAAATGATTTTTTTCCTGGACCCTTTCAAACGTGAAAAATACTTTCCGACCCCTCAATCCCCTCATTTTCAGTAGGTTCCATCAGAGGACCAAAAGCTTACCAAACTTGAAGTTGATAGCTTCAAATTTCAGACAATTATCGTGCATAGAATATGTGCAAAAGACAGTCGAAAATCGCGAAAAAAAGATGAATGCCGGAGTCAGATCGTGGCCATTTTTTATAGACTTGTGGCTCGCGGAGGATTAAAAAGGACATAGATCTCAATTTTGCAGCTTAAACGGTTCCAAAATTATTCCAGAAAAACCAAAAGATGAGAACCGAGAACGGACAATAGACAAAAACACTTTTTTTTTCGACGTTGATTCGTTCTGCACCAATAGCGGTGCGGTAGGACATATCGTTACCGAGATCTCGAGTTTAGTGAGGAGCCTATATACTTTTGAAAAGGATAGATTTCATCGATTTTTCGAAAGAAACAAGGTTTTAGTGCATTTTCCAACAAAAAAAAAACAAAAAAACGGTTCTTAAGTGGGACACACTGTATATAAATTTATCAAACAGGTTTTCGTTTTTTTTACTAACAGCTAATAGTTCAAAACTTTAAACCAAACATCGATTTTTCGAACAAGGTTTTAGTGCATTTTCCAACAAAAAAAAAAACAAAAAAACGGTTCTTAAGTGGGACACACTGTATATAAATTTATCAAACAGGTATTCGTTTTTTTTACTAACAGCTAATAGTTCAAAACTTTAAACCAAACAATAGAGATTCGCAAATCCCCGCCAGAAACTGCCTTAATGATCATATTTTGCTTTTTACAAAACTTCTGGATTCCTCCTGCGTCGGTTTTTGCTTAGTCGAAATTGCTGTCACTCTAGTTTCAGTCAAGCTCTGAAGAAGCCAACAGGATGATTGGCGAAACGTCACCAATTTCGACTAAGCAAAAACCGACGCAGGAGGAATCCAGAAGTTTTGTAAAAAGCATTACAGTAGCCTGTGGAAGTTTCTTTGAAAAATTATGATCATATTTTGTTAGGGTCCAGCACTGCAAGACATTTTATTACAAGCATGCAAATTCGTCAAAGGTGGGATAGTAGTATTTTTTCCTTCGTATATGTACGAAAATTGGGTTTGGGAGCAAATGAAGAATCTAAATTTTAGAAGGCCATTGTTTAGGGAACCCCAGAACGCGGAACAAGTAGAATCGGTTTTGGATAAATATGCCAGAACAATTAAAAAATCCACAAGTGGCGCCATAATGTTTAGTGTTGTAGGTAGGTGAATCGTCAGGGTGGCAGGAAATTATCAATTATTAAGTTTAAATTGTTTTTAGGAGGTAAACTAAGTGAAGGATTAAACTTTAGTGACGATCTAGGACGGTGCATTATAGTGGTTGGTTTGCCATACGCTAACATCATGGCTGCAGATTTAAAGGAAAAAATGTTATATCTTGATAAACAACAGGTTTAATTAAGTAGGTTATTAGTGGCTGAGGGTTCCATCTATTTTATTCTAGGGGCAAGGTGCTGGACAGGATTTTTATGAAAATCTCTGTATGAAATCAGTTAACCAGTGTATAGGTCGATCTGTAAGACATATAAATGACTACGCCACTGTTTTACTTTTAGATCACCGATATAATAAACCGACCAAGAAAAACGCACTGCCTGATTGGATTAAAAGGTCTTTAAAAGTTTGCAATTTTCAAGAGGCATTTGCAAACATTGGAAAAGTAGGTGTTAACTTTTATGTTGCATTTATGGCGGTTTTAATTATATATATTTTTAGTTTTTTACAGCAAAAACGCAAGCAATATAAAAACCATTTATTTAAATAGCATATAACTTACAAAAAATAAAATCAATTTTGTATGATCTCAATCCGATTCCTTTTCGAATAGTGTTTTATTTTAGTTTCTAGGCTGTCTGAAAGTGAAATAGAATTGTATATATTTCTTTCTGAATATATTGTATTTTATTTACCACATCGTTGCCTTTTTAGTACTGGAATGTATTTTTTAACCTTTACTCCACTCAACAAGTGCTGACTTAAATTCTGAGGGGATTCCTTGGGAAAATAGTCATTTAGATTACTTATCATGTCTTTCACCATGTTCCCTCTGGACATTAAAGTTTAAAATAATTTCACTAATGTCAATACTACCTTACTTTATGGTATGAAATAACCAAGTCCTGTTTAGTTTTTCTATTATACATTTCAAATTGTTTTCTTTATAAATCCAGTGAATGCTGTCATATTCACATAAGAATAAATTTAAAGGAACTTCATTAGCCATGGTGTACTCGGGCTTACTACAATAATAATAAAAGTACCAAAAAAAAAAAAGACAGGAATCTACCTTGGATTTTGTTCAACATCCAATAATTCCTTCACAAGAGAAAATGACTCTTTATCACCACCAATTAAAAATAATATGCCCATCATGTATCTAATTTGGTGCCACAAAAAAGCATTGCCGCTTATAATTGCAACATAAAGTGAATATTCTAAAAATGATTAATATATGTAATACTAGCTTTCCTTGATCTCAATCTTACCATCTTCACTATCAGTATTAATAAAGGGTTCTATCCTAAAATCCAAAACATTTCTTACAAATTTTATAACGCCATTGCCAACATCCATTTTACAAAAATTTCTAAAATCATGGGTACCAACGAAATCTTTACAGGCTATTCTCATTTTCTAAAATAAAATTCCAACCTGACCCTTGTAATGCATTAAAAAGCAACAACTACCTCAATATCTAAGTTGCCCTTTGGAAAATAATATTTGTAAGTTCTGCTTTTGCAGTCAAATCGAGAACTGAAAGATTGATCTGTCGCAGACCATGCTATGCACTGTATATTTACAGGCAAAACTCTGTTCAAAATTTTGCAATAATCAATTTCATTATCCAGGTTATTTTCATCCCCTTTGGACAATCTGCTTCTCACTTTGATTGATACAACCTGGAAAATATTTTCATTATTTTATTTCCCAAATATCCAAGCCGCCGCACCTGCCCAAATGAACTGACCCCTTTATCAGTTCTGCCGCTTCTGTGATAATTGGATGACTCTCTATTTTGAATCAGACATGTTTTAATAAGGGCTTCAAACAGGTGATATTCTATAGTATTTGTTGTATCTTCCTGTACCGTGAAACCTTGATAATCCCAACCAAGGTACAATATTCTCAATAAAATATGCCTAAAATTACACCTAAAAGACAGGATATAGTCAGCTGATTTAATTGTTATATTTTTTTACTTTGAGAAATCAAAAGGTTTATGAAATTTCCTTTCCTCCAATTTGACTGTAGGTTTACCTTTTGCCAATATATTTTGCAATTGTAGATTATGTGCTTGTAGAACCTGAATTTTCTGAATTAGTTCCTAAAATATCCATAAAACTTTAAATGGAAGAGTCATGTTCACAACATACTTCTCTAGAGAGCTTTTCCAAATCTTTATCTCCAGCAAACTTTGAATGTTTTTTTATTTGAATAGTCGTCTCCATTTTGCTTAAAGCGTGATACAAATTTTATTTGTTTTATTTATGATGTACTTCAATTCAATTCAATTCAATGATGCGTTTGACAGAAAACTGTTGGGCACGACTACCAGGATTGTGATGTTCAAGTTCAAGTTCAAGTATGCGTTTCACAAAAAAATGTTGGGCTCGACTGCTAGGATCATTCGCCCATTGCCGACTTCCGTCGAGGATTTTCGCTTCTGGTAAATGACCACCACGTACAAAGAAGAAAAATAACCAATAATTTGCTCAGCTAGCAAAAAACGATTCTGACCGATACCAAAAAAATCGGCTTCCCATCCGGGCCCATCCGGCCTCCATACCGGCGTGAACAGGGAAAAACGACGGGGCCGACGACGATTATCACTTTAAAACATGCACTGAACACTAAAAACACTAAGTCCACACAGTGGAAACCGATATCAAAGTTTTGAGGACGAATACAAGGGATTCTGTCGGGAGCGAACGGAGGTTAAACCGCCGCGTGCAATGCTCCACCACAGAATCCTCGGATTGTGATGTACTTTGAATATAACTAAACTGTTTCTTTGTGTTAATTACTTCTATAAGCCAATTCTACATAAGGTCATTCGGCCAATTTAGCACAATAGGTAACTATAGTACAGTATTCCTAAAACATACCTTCATAAATATTATCTCATACGGGAAATCCGTATCTGGCCCGGGTACCACCGTGAATACAAGAAATCCGGAAACCTAGCAATAAACCATACAAATCCATAAACATCACTACAAAATTGTCTTTTTTGGCAGAGTCTTGGGCTGTCTACCTCACCGTACCTTGGGGTATTCAGCTAAAAGAAGAAAAGTGTTTTGGCTTGTCACGCGTAACATTAGCCTACAAAAAGCACCGTCATTAAAATTTCAAATAATATAATAATTATAGTTATATTTTTGTGCCGTTGGCTTACTTTCAACAAGTAACATGAGTTCCATTGGCACTGGTGTTAGTACATATATGAATATCCGTTTTCTATTGTTTGTATTTAATCACTCTTTTTAGTATGATTTATCTGCTTCCCAATTTTCTCCCGATGGACGAGTTTTTCAAGTTGAGTACGCTATGAAAGCAGTAGAAAATAGTGGTACAGTGATTGGACTGAAAGGTAGTGATGGGGTTGTGTTAGCTGCTGAAAAGTTAATCCTGTCAAAATTACATGAACCCAGCACTAACCAAAGAATTTTTAATATTGATCGTCACATTGGAATGGTGAGCCTACACACTCATCAAAATGACTGGATTTATTAATTTATTTTATAGGCATTTTCAGGTTTAATTGCAGATGCTCGCCAGATTGTGCAGATAGCTCGGAGGGAAGCAGCTGAATACAGACAGCAGTACAATGTCAGTATTCCCTTAAAATACTTGAATGAGAGAGTCAGCATGTATATGCACGCATACACTTTGTATAGTGCAATTCGTCCATATGGATGTAGTGTAATTTTAGCTAGCTATGAAAATGGAGAACCAAGCATGTACACCATTGATCCATCTGGAGTGAGCTATGTATGTTTAATTACTTTTGTTTTAATCTGCCAGGTTCCTACACAGATTTATCTTAGGGTTATCATGGATGTGCCACCGGAAAGGCAAAGCAATCAGCAAAAACCGAAATTGAAAAATTGAAGTTGGGTACAATGACTTGCAAAGAAATAGTAAAAGAAGCTGCCAAAATGTAAGTTACATTTTGTTTTATAATTTTCAAGCTGTTTAATAAATACTCTCTTTTCAGAATTTATTTGGTACATGATGAGTTGAAAGATAAAAATTTTGAGCTGGAGTTATCGTGGGTATGCAAGGATAGCAATGGGTACCATGAAAGAGTGCCTGGTCATGTCTTTTTCGAGGCTGAGAAAGCCGCTAAGCAAGCAATGGAGGCTGATTCTGAATCAGATACAGAAGATATGTAACTTTTTTATAACTTAATTTTGTTTTCTACGCCTCTTATCATAATAAAATCAGTTTTCGAGATATTTTATAATTATTTGAATTGAATCATCCTATCAGTGCACTTGTGTTTACAGATATGCTCGGAAACATGGACAAAAAAAAGAGAAATGTTAACATTGTGACAAAAATGCTAGCAGCAGGAATTTGTTATTGCAGCTTGAACCTTGATTTGAATTTAATTTTCAATATCTTTACTTTTTTTTTTATTCTCTCGAGATATTCCTGTGGATGAATAATATTTTTCATGATGATACATACTCTTAAAATATTAATGACTTAAAGTATCTTAACCAAAATAATAAACATATATTTATTTAAAAGTTGAATACAAAAAATTATCACAGACATAATTTGTAAAATGTTGACTAGAGTCTCAGATTTAACAGGTACATGTTTCTAAATTACTCGAAAATATTTTAAACATGTAATCACAGAAAATGTGACCTTCTTGATTAAAAATATTTTCCGGGTTCAAAGTTTCATACACAGCTATTTTTCAATTCTTCAAATTTCTCGTAAATGTAATTTGATTTTAAGAAAAACAAGACCAAAAAAAAAAAACATTTGCCCTGAATATAAATAAATAATTGATGTAAGTGGGACTAAAAACATGTCTAGCGGCAAAAAAATGTTGAAAAAATTTTCTTGGAAGCTGCGCGTTGTTCATACCAACCATCTTATGCAGTGTAACACAATAATTACCCAGCAATTGATAAAATCTGATACCGTCGAAATTTAAATATTTGTAACCAATTGGCCTTTCATATAGTGAGATATACTGGGTCAGTGAAATGTATGGCAACTCACTATAACAGTCGAAAATTTTAAAAACGTTTTAGAATTTTTTTAAAATCTATTGGGCCTTCTGAGAAAGGTAGTGAATTACAAAATCCTAGATTAAATTTATATGTATATGGTGGTTTGTACAAATTATTTCCATATTTTTTAAACAAGTTAAAATATACTTAAAAATAAATTAAATAAAATTACCATTACTTTTTTTTAAATACTCTTAAGTGATTAAAATAGACCTGTTTCCATACATAACAGAGATCCGGTATATCATAAATTTTATCAAAACTCGGGGCTTAGATATAAAATACATGTAGTAGTACATAATTATCCCAAAATATTAAACATACAATCTGCCTACAATTAACAGCCTTTAAAACGCAATATTTTTTTAAGGACCAGCTTTCCTAGAAAATTTCCGTTCAAAAAACAGCCCTTAAAATAAATCCAGACATTAACCCCAAATTTTTGAATAACTATGACGGGATAAAATGCTATTTCATTAACTGCGTTTTTAAATAACACAACCAAAAACATTTTTTAATGCGAGTTTTGTTTGATGAATTAAATTGTCAATTAATAATCATAATTACATAAAATGCTTTTTTTCAGTTTTTCCGCTATCAAACACAAATGGGGACCGCTGATATACTTTTGCATATTTGATTCTACACAATGGATTATTATATCACCGATTTTTGAAATATTTTAAAAATAACTGTGGCGTTTACGGTCTGTTATCCGTAACTAAACGTTTAGTTGAAACTCAACAAACCCTGTTAAGTGTTAATGGAAAATTCTAAATTAAATGTCCTTTTAACAACATAAGGGGCGGAGCCCACACCAAACGTGGGAGTCATGAGTCATCCATATGCAATAGTATGTGTCCCATCAAAACAAAATTTTAAAAAACCTCAATATCTCATTTTATTTTAAAAACTTAGAACTTGTATCTCATTTTTCAAACAAAAATTGGATTTTTTGACGCGTCGGTCACCAGTCAACTTTGCAAGACCAGTTTACTTTCACCACTAAACCACAGACCATTAAGCCTTAAAAATAAGTTTAGAAAAGGGGTATAAAAAATGAGTAAACAAAAAGGACCACAATAAAAAAAAGCACCCAATGGAAAGTTTTTCTTTTTTAATCTATAGGAAAACATTCTTCTTTCTTCCTTTTCTTCCTTTCATACTGTCCTATCCCATCGTTTCCGTCCCGTCAATAAGCATAGTTTCCTTCTTCGAAATTACAATGGAAAAATTAATGCATAAAATAAATCGGTACAAGCTACAAGTACAGAGAAGCTTACACTGTTATAAACCTAATTACGAGGAAACTCCTAAATGCTACAGCAAATCATTACATGTATATATATATATTTTTTTTTTCGATATTCTTAGTGGCGGGAACGATGGGAATCGTCCCTCCTGTCTCTCTCCCTATCTCTGTCGCTCTCTCGTCGTCCAGAATCCCGCTCCCTTTCGCGGTACCTTTCTTCGTAATAACGTGACGATTTCGAAGGTGGATCGCCGCCACCATCGGCCGGTTCCACGGGCGATTTATTTCGAGGTCTCGACGATACGTGCGCCCTAAAAAAACAAGAAATAATAAAAATTTCAAACGAAATGATTATAACAACCCTCACTTACTAATGAAAGCAAAAAAAGAAAAAATAGAGCAAAACAAAATATGCAGGATGAAAAGGAATAGAAAGTCCCATAAAGAAAAAAATAAAAACCACAACATTTATGACAAGAAATATATGGGAAAAGGAGCAAATGCCAAAGGAATGGTCGAAATCATCAAGTACAACAGTACTTTTTAATTTATTGTTGAAATAAATAATAAGCAGTTGAATATACTAACAGGAACAATACTTAATAACAATCACCAATGCGTTTGTAGATAACTTAACTCTTATGACAAGGATAAGAAACAACAAACAAGTACACGGAAGCTGATAAGTTTGGATTAAAAATTAAAGCAAGTAAAAGTTGATGGCAATGAGACAAACACAGGAGGAAACAGAAAACTTAACCAGTAGGGGCGAACAATACGCTTTTGACAGGGTAAAAGGATTTATCTATTAAGGACTAACGATAGATCGAAAAATCTCCAAAACGCACAAAATCCAAGCTAGAATATTAAAGGGTTAATAAGATCAAATAATGTCTTAAGAAATACTAAATTTCATTGGGAGCAAAAAATTTAGGTCACTCAAGAAATTTCAAATAATCTAAAAAAAGTTTATCACCGATGGTCTACTCTAGTAGGTAGTGAACTATTTGCTTTCGGACAAATGCAGCGTAGTTTCTGCAAGAATTATTGTTAGGAGTCTATGTGCCGTCCAAAATGTATACCAACGCCACGCGGACACAGGCTTAATCACTAGAAGACCAGGAATTGGTCGAAGAACTATCACCAACCAAAGGGATGATCGATTTTTGGTTTCAGCAAGTTCGCGAAACAGGACACACAACTTCTGCTGTTGGGCTTCGAAATCAACTTTAAGAAGTTAGACATATTAATGTTAGCGAATGGACGGTTAGAAGAAGACTTCCTGCTAATGGATTCTCTTGTTGACGTTAAGGCCGCCATTGGACCGCCGGTATCGAATAGCAAGATTAACTTTTGCCTGAAATCAATTAGAGTGGAATGTTTACGAATGGAGCATTGTACTGTTTTCGAATGAATCTCGTTTTTGCCTCACTGGGTCAAGTGGACGTTGGAAAGTAAGAAGGAGACCCGCAGAAAGATATGTCTCAAGTTGTATTAATGAAAGACTTCGACATGGTGGTGGTTCGGTTATGGTTTGGACGAAAATCAGTTCGGAAGAACTAACAGAGTTGGTCTTTACATATGGCTCGCTGGCAGCTTCCAGGTACATTACGAAAATCTTGGATGATTATGCTATGCCTTTAATGATCACTATGGGCGAAGATGACATTTTTATGGATAATGTTAGATCTCACACCGCCAGAATTGTCAGTCAATATCTGAATCGGGTGAGAATCAGTTTGCTTGGCCAGCACTTAGTCCAGACATGAATCTCATTAAACATGTGTGATGAGATGGGACGACGTATTCGAAGAAATACACCAGCTCCAAGAAGTATTCAAAAGCCAAGAGAGTTGCTAGATTACAAGCAGTCATAAACGCAAGAGGAGGGAATACACGTTTCTTTAGTTACAAATAAAAATTAACTAGGCTTTGTTTATCATAGACATTTTCTGTTTTCCGACAAATTCACGAATACCAACATCAGAGTTTCCGATTAAATGTTAAATTGAGATAACCAAATAGAGTAGGATAGATAATTTACTACCTACTGGTTCGTGACAAAATTTGAAATTTATTGAGTGATCTAAATTTATTGGATACCCAATCAAATGGAGAAACAGTGAGAGCGCAAAGATAGTTGGGACATGTGGCACATTTGAAGAAGGAAAGAATGTCGAAAATAGTTGTTGATGAATCAAACTTGCTGACGTTTGGCCAATCGTCCTGTTGGATAAACTGGGTCTCATTGAACTCTGTACCTGTTTATATATTGTTTGAGGGGGTGGAGCTAAAGGAGGGGTATATATTGATGACCTGAGGAACCCAGGTTTGTACATAGCATTACAGAAGTCTGTAGAAGTATACAAGGACTGTTCAGCACATAAATATATAATAAATTTTAGGTGTGAAACTTACTCCTCCGCGTCCCTATCTCTGTAATCCCGTTCGCGGTCCCGTTCTACCCTATCCCTACTCCTCGATCTGTCCCTTTCTCTGTCCCGATCCCTGTAGCTATCACTGTAATACCTGTCGCGATCGCGCTCCCTATCTCTGTCCCTCTCGCGTTCCCTATCCCGGCTCCTGTCCCTGTACCTCGAAGTTGACCTTTCCCTTCGGCTTCTTCGGTGAGTTCTGTCTCTGGATCTAGATCTCTCCCTTCTTGAAGAACTGTAGCTTTTGTCTTCAACCCCTCTTAAAGTATCTTGCAAAGAACTGATCAATATCTTGCACCGGTCGTCGTTTGCCACTTTGCTCTGCTTGATCAGAGATATAGCGGTAACTAACGTCTCGATAGCGCTAGCGTATTCGCCAGCAGCCGCATCTGAAACGGCTCTGGCTATAGCTGATGATGAAACTGTCCTATTCCTGGACATTATGTCTTCAAATTCTTGTTCGCTAATTGGGGGAATGTCTGGTCGATGATCTGGAGGCGGTCCCCCGTATGGAGGCTGAGTCATACTTGTCGGAGGGCCATAGGCATGAGGAGGACCATGTGGAGGAGCATTCGGAGCACCCATTGGTGGACCGTGAGGGGGTCCATGAGGCGGTCCTTGTGGCATAACTACAAATATCAGCGATTGCTTAATTGGCAGTGTCGATTTCTAAGTAATTTTACCCTGTCCAGGTGGTCCTTGCATATGCTGCATAGGCGGCGGGCCTCCTGCTTGTGGAAAGAAGGCAGGATTAACATGAGGCGCTGGACCCTGAGGTGGTCCTTGCGGTGGAATACCAGGAGGACCACCCATTGGAGGGGGAGGCCCTCTGGGTCCCCCCATCTGACCTTGCATTGGCGGTGGTCCTTGGGGAAACCCTTGCTGCATGGGTGGCCTACTCCATTCAGGTCTCATTGGGGGTGGTCCTTGAGTTTGCATTCTTGGGGGTTGTCCTTGTGGAGGTCCCTGGAACTATATTCAGTTATAAGTAGTAGAAATTTCTGGCACTTACCAAAAACTCACCATAGGTGGCCTTGGCGGGCCTTGTGGTCCTGGCGGGGGCACACCAGGGCGCATGGGTCCCATATTTGGACCAGGTCCATTGGGTCTGGGGCCATTCCATTGGGGCTGACCTTGGAATCTGGGTGGTTGCTGTTGCATACTAGGTGGCCCATTGAAACCTGGAGGTCCTTGCATTCTAGGACCACCTTGCATGCCCGGAGGCATTGGTCCCCTCATACCAGCATTATTCATGGGCATTCTACCCCCATAACTTTGCATTCCTCCAGGATTATTGCCTGGATGGCTTGGATGAGGTGGTCTGGAGTTAGTGTTATTACTGGGTGAAGGGCGTGTTTTGGATTGACTTTCAAAATTACTCAATGCTTGCTTAGTGGTTGGCGTCACAACTGGATTTTGACCATTTATCTCTTTCTTCGGTAAATGTTCAAGGCAACGCCTCATACTACCCTCAGATCCAAGCGATATTACGCAGAAGCCTTTTGATTGGCCATTTGCACGATGTTCAAAAAATTTCACCTCATGGAAATCTTTTATTCCAATGCTCTTACATGCATTTGCTACATCTTGATCGGTAGTCCACTGAAATTGTTTGTATGTGAGGTGTTACAGATGTTCACTTATAGCAACACTAACACTGACAGTACAGTTCCATGCAATAGTATAATATTATTTTCCCATAGAATACTCTCAGTATCAAGTACGGTTTGTAATACACTGGAAAAGTTTTTCTTAGAATTTGCTAATACACAGGAAAAGCAGTATAAGTAGACCATTCGGAAAACAATTATACAATTAAATAAGAACAGCAATTAACAAATAAATCTTGTAAGTCTACTTATACAGTTATTAAAATGAATTCAAATTAATACTGTGTCCCCTTAACATCCAAACCAGATTAAATACAGTAACTAAAAACCAAAACTGCAAAAAAAGAACTATAATATAAATGTTATAATAATTAGGTAACATTTTTATTAGCATTACACTAATTGCCTTACAAACAAAATTTTCATATTTTTTATAAGGTGGAAAACGAAGTGGCATTAATTTCACCAAAATACATATTATTGAAGTCAACAGATATGCACAACAATCAAAGAATTTCAGAAATTTCTGAAATTTTGTTATTACACAGTTTTGTCATAGTTGTTTTAACCTTATATTTCATTTGCGTTTCGATTTTATAGATTTTTATCCATTCATTCACAACAAATTTCTCACACTAACATCAATTGTTCTACTATTTTCAAAATCAAATTATAACATTTTTTTGGAAAAATGTTAAAAATGAAATAGGCCCTTATTAAAGTACTTTTAATAATAACTGTATCACTGCTAATTTACACCAAATTCCAGAGCTAGAATGCTAATTTTGAAAAAAAAACTTACCCAAGTTAAATTTCCAACGTAAAGCTGATGCCTTCTACCTGATGTGTTATGGACCACTACAACACCCCCAGCCCCTTGACCAGCATTGCCGTTAGCTTTATCTCCAATACCTCCTGCATGGTTGGTATCAACATTGTCGGCGCTAGGTCCCGAACCAGTGGCGATAACGTCGTCGTATAAATCCACATTTTCCCCGGCAAATTCGTCCTGCAAATCATAAAATCTGAAAATGCGGGTACACCAAAAGCAGCCATGTTTTGTTGCTTTCAAATACCGGGTCTTATTTTCATGAGGAAGTTACACAATGTAAAGACCAACGGGTATACTGCTACATCCAATATAATTTTGGTACCAAAAATTTTATAAAATTTTCTACCTACTTGCGCAAAATCTTGATCTATATCGTCCGCATATAAATCAATGTCGTTTTCCGCCATTTTCACGACGCGTAAGTGGTACAGACCACAGTAAACGCCGCTGTTATCAGAGCAAAAGAAACAAAATTTAGTTGTGAAAGATCCAGAGTTCAAAATTGGCACAGAGCACTAACTAACATTCAATGCCCTAATGTGTGGTAACGTAGGGCCAAGAACAGTACGTCAAAGTGGACAGTTACATGGACGATTTATTATCTCCAGGTAAGTGCCAGCAGAGACGTCACACATCCTTCTCGTGAATACAATATTTATAGCAAATAATGTGACTAAGTAATAATTTGTTTTGTATCTTTAAAACTGAACGCTTATGGGAAGTAAATATTCCATTCCATTCTTAATAATTTGAAACTTTATCCACTCTTTCATATTGAATAAAAAACGATTGGTGGAAAAAAAAGAATATTTTTTTAAATAAATAGGAGGAACGATATTTATTTTTTTCTTCACGAATTTAACCGTATGCGTAGCTAGAATAATAAAGAAATTAGCAATAGTGCCGACTTGAATTTTTTTTGCTTTAAATAGTTTAGAATACATGCCAGGCACTTCATTTAAATTTGGCAAGATGGATGTTCTTCTTTATTTATCGTTCATCCTTTTTATGAATACCAATGTAGCATTTTAAACAATGGTCTATTTAATAATTGCTAAAGTCAAAAATCATTACAAACTCTGCAATAACGCATATACAAGGTGTATCAGCTTGTTGTATCGAAACTTCAAAGTTCGTATAAATGTGTAACCACATTAAGTTTTTTGGAGTAAATAATAATATTATTATCGCCAATACGCTTATAATTGCATCAATTTATAATTTCAATGCTCGTGTTTTCAGCTGTTCAATATAATTTGTTATATATATATGGATATTTGCGTTTGGGTAATCTATGCAGATATATTTTTCTAAGGAGTATTAAGGGCTTAAATTGGATGACCATAAGCAGATTACCGGTCCTATAGCTTGTTTGTATATCCACTATCCACTTTAAGAAGATTTAAAATTTTTAGAATCTATTCACGTGGGGTCTGTCATCAAATCGTTACTGTTAAGACGAATTAGGCGCAGCTTGCATTTGCTGATTTTAAGCGCAACCGGGGTTATTTGATCAAAGGTAAAAATTGTCAATTAAGGTATTTTCATTTGTGCGCTGGGGGTGTAAGTTATTGCAACTTCTCAGTCCCGGAAAACCTGATATGGTCTTGGTGAGGCTGTTTGTTTGAAATTGGAATGGTGAACTGTTATATCGAGTTGAGGGTGCTAAATTCAAACAAGCCCAGAACCAAGTCGGCTTCAATAACTTTTTTGTTAGATTTCAATTGGGCTAACCTTTTGTGGGCTTTTATCCGTATTATAGGTACGCCCAGTCGTATATGAAATTGGATTAATGGGATATATTAACATAATTACTACTGCATCTATTTTTTTAATAAACTCAAGCCCGAGACAAAACACCTCCCAATAAACAGGTTCGAAACCTTAGTCAAAGATTTTTTAATAAAGCAATCATTTTACAGCTTGGAGGAGTAATCTTTTTTCCAGATACAAAAACTATATCTAGCACACGATGATTGAATCTCTTCGACTCCCCGTTTAGTAGTTTATTGTGTCTGATGACTATCTATATATACTTAGTCAGTGATATCCATATGGCTATTAGTAGCCCTAGTACGGTAAACATTGATGCACCGCAGGGGAATTTTCTTTCTAAACAGTGATATCCACACACTTAACTCGTTTTCCTAGAACATATCAGGAGAACTAGACATACATGAGAAAATAATGCTGTAAAGATACTGCATCCACAGTTATTGACGATTTGTCAGCGGCCATGTTAGTTGTTGAATGCCTCAAGATCATTGGTAAAAAACGACAATTTAAACCTTGCGCATGCGCAAGTTGAATAGATATTTTCAAAAAAAATTGATATAGTTGGTTCGTAAGTTCCTGTATCATAACTTTAGTCACGGCCTCTATATCTCTAGTGATAATAAACGAAAAAAGAAATTTGTGGGGAAACGTTATTGAACGATATGGAGTTTCTGGGTACACCCCTGCAAAAATCCTAAGCATTCCTAATCTGGCCGTCGCTAAAGGATTAAAGAAAGATCCTGCTCATCTCTTTTTGTGCAATCATCAAAGCAAGATTACATAGCTGCGCATAAAGTGATAGCTTTAAAATGGCCATGTACGATTGGCAGGCGAGTGTCAAAAAACAAAGGAAGATTCAAGAACATTTGATAAGTATTCTACAAAGTTGTGAGTATAAACGTACCTATTCCTTTGAAAAAATGTTCGACAAACATATTCATACCAATGTCCATAACTATTGGTGGCATTCAAATTCACGGACCTCCTAGTGTCCAGACCATATAGTTGTTAGATAGTATATACTTATTACGGTAAACATTGTTGCGTCTCAGATGTCAGCGGTTCCACACACTTAATCTGGACATATTTTGGGAAAGTATAACCGTAAAAATGCCCCATCAAAATTTATTTACGATCTGTCAGCGGCCATGTTGGTCTAATATCTGGTTAATTGATTAAAAGTTTTTCATAGTTGCTTCATACGTTACTGTTTTATCAGGATTAGGCAGGGCCTCTATATCTCTAGTAATTCTGTGGTGCGGACCCGCCCTTTAATCATCGAGGTTCCACAACCATGCTTTCTGCTTGCAATTGGTTGGGGTTTCTTTCTGTTTTAATGATGATTTAATTTTCAGAGTGTAGATGGCGCAACAAGTCTTAATTAAACGAAAATGAATCCCATACCTCTTCACTTGCTCTTTAACCGTATTCATAAACACACTATAGTAACTGTGAAAATCTTAAAATCTCGCAATCGTGTTATTTATAAACTGTGTTCCAAGAGCTCCATAATTAAGACAATTAATAATATAAGAATATAATAATATAAGAACATACAGCCGCATACAAGGTGTTGCCAAGTATTGCCAATGACGCATGCCCCCTTGCTACAAAATATTGCCTATTGTGACCTGCCGATCCACAACGAATGGATAAATATAGGCAACTTCGTGCGGCCTCAATCATTTCGTTTGTAGATTTTTGAATATTGATAACCCACACTATAGCTTCCCAAACTGCGAATCGCCGAAAACTTTAAAGTTGTCAGTAATCTCACCTCCGCCGGGATATGCTAGACTTGATATGTGAGTAGTTAATTTAGTTAATAAATAGTGAACATCAGTTAAACTCATTCTTTTAAAAATATTAAAAAGGGCTCTCATCTGTTGAACCAAAACGAGATATGCAGCAGCTGCAATTAAAAGTATCCGCTATGGTAAAAAAGTTTCGACTACTGAAGTCAATCTAGTTGCCTTGATATACATGCATTGTCGCATGCTGTAAAATCGCACTAAACTGATTTGTGCGACTGAAGAATATCCAAAACACGTTGCCATTTGTTGCCTTGGTGGAAGACCGGCTTACGGGATATCTGATTATTAAATAAAAATAAAAATCGTAGTTATAAACATTACTTTTGGCACTATTTATTGTTCCATAAAAGATTCCATGCGTGCATGATTATTTCATAAACATTGAATGCGTATACCTGAAATAGATTAGAAGGTGTCGGCGAAGTGAAAAATTAACGAAATCAACCACTCGTGACCGAATTCGAAAATTGAGTAGATATGCAGCACCGATATTCTATAGGCGACAAAATGTTGACGAATGATGCTTTCGACAGGTATACCTACGTTTCGGTAATAGATTTTATATGTAAACTTCTTACCGGAAAGCTTGTCCAACGAATTTATAAATAATTCTAACGTTTTATTGAATAGACGACTCATCAAGTGTTATTAATAACCAATTTTTAAGTGTGGCGATATTAATGGGTATATCCCGTTTGAATATTTATTAGAAATATGACGACGTCCATCATAGACAGCCTTAAAATTAAAAGCATAAATATTGCTATTTATTGAGATATCTTTATGTGTTGTTTAATTACTCTACAAGTTGTTATTGAGCTATAACTTAGAATACATTAGAAATAATTTTTTGAAGCTCATTGGCATACTAAGCTTAGTAAAAGGGGGCTGGGGGGAGCTCCTGGCAAATGTACGTATAATTATTTAAATGACTATAACGGCTTATCCGATTTTACTAAACATAAGTTTGTGTGAAAGAGCACTGATAGTGCTCCTACTTGATCGGTTCAAATAAACCTCTAGATGGCACTATTTGTAGTAGCAACAGTTTTCTTTTTATTCTGCGACCAAAATTTAAATCACATTTTAATATAAAAGTAAGTGTTTTCATGGTTTCGTAATTTTGTATTTAAAATAAGTAACAAGTATTTTTAATTTGGGGTTAGGTAACAAAAAAATGATTATTTTTTAAATGAAAAGGAATATTTTTTAAATAAAATTATTTAGTTACCCATGGAACGCCATGTTCAAGACAGATGCCAATGTTTTGAAAGTTGCATTGTTGACGCTCAATTAATATTGATTTAAAAATAAATTAAAATTGTGCAATTTAATTACTCAAATGCAATTCCGATGATTTTCTTTGTTATCAACGGATAAGTATGCAGGAAATTCAAGGAAATGTATACCCATTTTCCACAAATAAAGAAAGTTTGTGTAAATATAAAATAGTTTGATCAATTCCGTGTGTCCATTACAACTTTTAAATACTTGAAACAATAATCGATCCATCAAAATAAACAACATGGCGTTCCATGGCTGATTATTGTTAATATGTCAATGTAACGAGATATTCAGAAATATTTCGAATATTTTAGTGCAAAAAATCATATTCGAGGAAACAATGAACTAACCAAAAATGATATAAAATATTTAAACAGAACGACGTTGACATATAATATTGTCAGAATCCGCACAAAATGCAATCATACCCAGGACATTCCATAAAATCTAAAAAAAACCTTTATTTTTTGAAAGCAGCGGCAACGTCGCATCGTTGACAATATTTTCGTTCTATACGAGGGTCACTTGAAAAGTTTCCGGCATCACCCTGAAGATGGCGACGGTACCAG